CCCAGACCTGTGGAGAGACCAGAGGGTTCCTCTAGACACAAAAACAGAGCCTCTGGACTGGAGCCCCAGGCACAGTGGAGAGCCAGTAAATGAAAAGCAGGCATAGAGCCCTCAGCCCCACTCTCCCACTTGGTTCCAAGAGCATCAGCAGTCACAATTTCCAAAGAGAAAACAGTACACAGGCCTGACCTGGCAGTGTGGCCCATGTCTTTAATTCCCAGCACTCAGGAGGCAGAGGCAGGAGGATCTCTGTGCATTTGAGGCCAGCCTGGTCTACAAAAGGAGTTCCAGGACATCTAGGGCTACATAGAGAAGCCTCATCTTGGAAAACAAAATAAATAAATAATGACAGAAAGAAAACAGCACACAGAATTTAAGAAATTTCCTAGATCCACCTGCCTCTGCCTCCCAAATCCTAAGATTAAAGGAATAAGCTACCACTCCTGGTGTATATTCTTCTTCCCTTTTCTTTTTTTTAAGATTTGTGTGTGTGTGTGTGTGTGTGTGTGTGTATGCACACATGCACACCAGCCAGCCAGGCATGCATGTGTGGGTACTCATGGACACTGGAAGAGGGCATCAACTCTGGAGCTGGAGTTGTGCCTGTGCAAAGCACTTGTGAGCAGCCTGATGCGGGTACTGGGACCTGAACTTGAGGTTCTCTGGAAGAGGAGCAAGGGCTCTTAACAGTTGAGACACATATCTCTTCAGCCCTATAAGTACATTCCTCAGAAATAATAAAGTTGGGCTGAGGAGACATGTCAGTCAGTAAAATGCTTGCTGTACAACATGGGGACCTAAACACAATCCCAAGAACCCCCACAAAAATGCTAGTTGTAATCCCACACTGAGGGGAGAAGTAGTGGAGACGAGTTAGGTCAGGCAGCCTAACTTTCTCAGAAAGTTCCAGGCCAATGAGAGACTCTGTCTCCAAAAACAGGGTAGACTGTGCCTGAGAATAAGCCCGAGGTTAACCTCTGCCCTGCACATACACACCCACCCAACTATAAACACACACACACACACACACACACACACACACACACACACACACAGGAAAAGGAGCTAACCAAGTCATAACTAGTACTTACCGAGATAGTACTGTGCTGCTGCCCGGTTGGTATAAAGGACAGCATTTAAATCGGAGTCTACACACTTCTTCTTTAATCCTTCAGTGTAGGAAACCACAGCTTTCTTATAGTCTTTTTCTTTAAAGTAGTCATTGCCTTCATCCTTATAGGTCTTGGCTTGCTCTGCGAACGAAGAGAAGGAGAAAATAAGCATCACCAAAAGTCTGAATCATGAAGTAATCTAATATTGTGCAGGTTAGGTTGTTGCCATCTTGACACAAGCTAGAGTCATCTGGGAAGAGGGAGCCACAAATAAAAAAATGCCTCCAGCTGGGCGGTGGTAGCACACACCTTTAATCTACACTTAAAGAGGCAGTGGCAGGCAGATCTCTGTGAGTTGGAAGCCAGCCTGATCTACAGAGCAAGTTCCAGGACAGGATCAAAAGCTACACAGAGAAACCCTGTCTGGGGGAGGGGGGATGCCTTCATCAGATTGGCCTATCTTGGGCATTTTTATAGATTAATGATTGATGTGGAAGGGTCCAGCACACTATGGGCGGTGCTACTCCTGGCACGTGGTCCTGGGTGTAGGTAGGGGAAGAAGCCAGTAAGCAGTCTTCCTCCATGGTCTTGGTCTCAGTTCCCACCTCCAAGTCCCTGCTTGAGGTCACCTCCTTCATAATGGACTGACTATAACCTGTAAGCTAAAATAAACCCTTGCTTCCTCAAGCTCATCTTGGTCAGTCTTTTAGCACAGCAAGGGAAGGGCAGACTAACACATGTATGATAAATGAAAGAGATGGAACCAAAAGAGAAAGAAAAATCCAAATTAATAGTATGACAAAATGGGCACAATGTCTCTCTTATGCACAATGTCCCGAACAGTTACAACCTTAGGATGTATGTTACTAATTTTTGTTGTTTTGTTTTTCAGGACAAAGTTTCTCTATGTAGCTCTGGATGGCCTCAAACTCAGAGATTTACCTGCCTCTGACTCCTGTGTGCTGAGATTAATGGTGTGTGTGTAACCACTGTGTGGCTGTGAGTGCTGTTTTTGAAAGGGGGAAAGAAAGATGGCCTAAGAGCTGACTCAGCAGGTAAAGGCACCTGCCCCCACGCTTGACAACCTGAGTTTCAGCTCAGGAACGTTTGTAAAGGTAAAAGAGAAGTCACACCACAAAACAAAGCTGTTCTCTGACCTCCTTATGTACATACGTGTGTGTATACACACACACACACACACACACACACACACACACACACCCCATAAGCTCACATGCACAATGTATCCTAGTTTTTAAAGAACTTTAAAAGTCTTTTTGAGGAAATTATACTATTCCTTTTCTTACATTTGTTTCATTCACCAAGATGCAAATTTCCCTCCTCTTTCTGGCAACAACCTACACAGCCATTAAGATTTAGTTCAAACTTCAGACCCACTGTGAACTCACTCCTGCTCCTGTAGTGCTCCAACAAGTGCCCACTAATGTAGCAGTATACTTGTTGACACTTATCACACATATTCTGATTCTTTAGAACAATTCAGAACTGTGTACATTTAGACGGTATCTAAAGAAGAACGAACATATGGCCTGAATAGTGACAAATTAGCCATCTAACTCATAGTTTACCTCAACTCAACAAAGACACAAAGTAAACCCTAGTCACATAAGATACCTTCTGGAGATCGCTCATCATCAAAAATAATTGACTGAAGGCAAGCCAAGTCAGGGAACTCCTTGGGATCTATTTCTGATGGTGCTTTCTTCATAAATAGGGGGATCTTGTCAAATTCCTATATTTCGAAGGAATAAAGCACATAATTAGCAGTGTCTGCTGAATTAGATCCAATCCCAGGACTCAACGTCCAAGTCTTTTTCTCCGATCATGACTGCAACTCCCCATGATTGGCTGGATCTATACAGGCTCCAGTTTCTGCGGTGGCAAACTAGACTTCAGAGTTCTCAACTCTCCAAGGATGGTCGTAATCGCCTTCAACGGAGCTCTCTCACGATCCTGACCTTTCTCTGTCTCCTTTCCTCTTTGCCCTAACCGTAAGTGGCAGGATGCTGCATGGAAAGCAACTTTACACGGGAGGGACCCAGCTCAAAGAACTCAGGAGGCCGATCCAATAGAAAAACCTGGAGGTGGTGGGTCACAGGGCTGACTGCCAAACCCTGTGGTCTTAAGTGCACTGACCACTCAGACCCTACATACGCCGAGGCAGATGGCTTCTGGCACTCAACTGAAGTCACTCGTCCTTTGGCGGCGATCAAGGCACGAGGACCACGCTCCTACCCCAGCGGGACCCCCGGGACTCCCACCTCCTCCCAGTGGTCCTCGCGGAAGCCGCCGCGGTAAGGTTGGCTCTGGAACTTGTCCAGGAATGCGTCCATGGAAGTGTCATCCGCGGGGTCAGCGTCGGAACTCTCCATTGCAGCTCGCGACTCCAGCTCTTGAATCCGGGGGAACCAAGAAGTGTACTGCTCCTTCCGGCGGCGAGGGTGTCCTTCCCTCTAATGTCCCGGCTGTGTGTTTCCCTGCCTCTTTGGTTCCGTCGGTCTGTGGGCGTGGCCTGACAGGGGCGTGGCCTAACAGGGAGCTCCACCGCACCTAGGGAGAGCCTGCCTAGCCTGCAGTCTCCTGGCTGTAGTTTGGTAAGCTCCCTTTTGTATCTGAACCCTCCACATCCTCTCCAACCCTGATGGTTTTTGTCTTCTCTATAAATGTTCTCAAAAGGTGAATTCTTAGCCAAGCCTGATGACTTTTTTTTTCCCTGTAATCCTAGCACTTTAGTAGGAGAATCACAGGTTCAAGACCAGGCTAGACTACATAGCAAGACCCAGTCTCAAACAAAACAAGATTTTTGTTCACACAGATTTTAGCATACTTTTCTTCACTCAACACGAGGCTTGAGGCCCCGTGGAGCTAAGTACATCCCTACCTCAACTACGCAAGACTCCATGGGCTTACCCTCCGGCCTGACTCTTCACCTCACCTCATAAATAACACCACAGCAGACGACTTCATAAATGTCCCTATGGGCCTGTGGGAAGATCACCCCAAGATGTATGCCTACAGGTAGAATCCGTGGGTTGTGATTATTCCTAAGCTCACCACTACTGACCAGTGAAAGACTCTTGCTCAGAATGGCCGAATCAATCTACTGGTGTACCAGCAGGGCCCAGGGTTCCTACATCCCATGAGGAGAGAGTCTCAGTCGTCATCTGCTCATATATCAGCACCCCGCTGTGCCTCCCCCTGCCCTCTGGATGAAACTGTCTCCTTGCACAGCCTCCATGGCCTCAGGCCTGGCACCGCCCTTTTTCTAGGTTCCGTATCACTGTGACTTTGAAGATGGTCTTTGGTCCCATGTACCCTGCTCTCCACCCATACATCCCCAAACCTCCTTGAGAAGTCTCTGCTCTGGCACCTCAGACTCCAGCTGACTCACACAACCTCCGGATGTCACGGTCCCCAGACCTCCCTGCTGAGCTCAGCCTTAGAACTTTTGACCATTTAGATGTGGGGGCTGTCCTGCATACTGTAAGATACTTAACAGTGTGCCCCGACACCTGGTTTCTACCTACCAGAGGTTAGTAGCATTGACACCTTCAGGTAGCAAAAACAAAAATGTCTTCAGATAGTTTTGCATTAGTGGTAGGCAATTATTGGGCAAAGACCCAAGGGTGAGATTCAGAGGCCAGGGTTCTTGAATATGAATGATATAAGTGGGAGAGCCTTTTCTGTCTCTTTCCCTTTCTACAAGGAAGGGCCGTCTAAACCATCGCCCCTTCTGCTGTTTTCACTGGAGAAGGGGAAACTGAGATGTCCAGGGGACCACCTGTGTGGATTCGGACAAGTCACTTCACCTCTCTGTGCCTCGGTATCCCAATATACAAAGTGAACAAAACAGCCTGCACACATCCGTCAGTGTCAACTAAATCAACAAATGTAGGCCATGCTCTTTTCACAGACTTGTCAGAGTGATGGCTACCCAGGGACCCGGGGCATCTCTCACGAGGAAGCCATCTGAATGGAGAGGTTGACCATATAGTATTTACAGTGATCTGACCGGGGGCTTTGACATGTCACTGCTTCAAAGACATTTTCCAGGAGCTCAGTGCCTGCATGATCCAGGAGCGTCGCTGGTGGGAAGTGGGCAGGTTCTCAGAACTGGGGCTCCAGCGGTGTGTATTGGATGGGTCACACACCCATAAGTCCCCATGCGGAAGCGGCCAAGAATTCCGCCAGTAACTGGCCATAATGTGGTCCTGGGCCTGGGCCGCATAGATACACACTGATGCTTCTGAATCGTGTCTCAAGTTCTCCAGAGCTGGGTTGGAGAAAGAGAAAGGCCACTTGTTTAGACTAGGTTCCTCACTCAGTAGAGCCCCATCCTCCCTTCCCAACTCCTAGCCTTGGCGTAGACACCCCTCTATGAGGCACCTTCCCAGCCCTTCAGGTCACTGTGTCTTTCAAAGCTTGTATGATTTTTTTTTTGTTCTTACGAGACAGGGTTTCTCTGTATTGTTTTCGAGGCTGTCGGTCCAGCCCAACCTCGAACTCACAGAGATCCGCCTGCCTCTGCCTCCCGAGTGCTGGAATTAAAGGCGTGCGCCACCACCGCCCGGCTTGCACTACATGGTTTTGGGTCTTGTTTTTGAGCCACACTGTCTTAATGAAGTCACAAACTCCCCAGGATGCTGTGCATCCTGCCTCTGGGTGACCCCCACAGTAGCTAACATTACACTCACTATAGATAAAGCTACAGCACATCAGGTCTGAAGACTCTTGCCCTGGCCCATGCTGTCCTCTTTTCCTGTCACCCACTGAGATTCTGCTCATGGTCTCCCTCAGCAATCTCACCTACCCAGGCTGGGACTTACTGGCTTTCACTTCATTCAGCCGTTCTTCAGTCATGATGTTCTCCATGCAGGGGACCAGGGACCCTGGATAATCCAAGAGGAGAAGGTGTCCACCTTGATACCTGCTCCTCACACTCTTGGACCAGATGGCCCCAGAGAATCTGCCTGCCCTCTTCCGGCCCCGTAGAGGTCATGAAAGGGGGGCTTCATTATGACCCAGAGCAGATTCTCAACAGGAGTCCCAGAGAGGTGTTGGTCCAGTGGGCGGGATCAAATCAGACAACACAGGATCCTGGATGCAGGCAATTGACAGTGCCACCCTAGGCTGGGCTTCAGTTTCCTTGTCTATGACATGGAAAAGTACTGCCTCCCTGCCCAATTTCCCCAGGGAATCTGAACCTCTCGTACACCTGTCAGCCATGGCTGCAAAGGACCTCTGAGGTGTCCTTGCTCCATGTACCTGACTCCCATCATACCTGGGTCCTGGTTACACTCCACCCTTCCCAGAGCCCCTTAACTCATGTGTTTTCCTGGAGAGTTCCTGTTCGTCCTTGTATGTTAACTTCAGAGAATGGCTCTCCATGAAGTCCTTCCTGACCCTGACCCAGGCTGAACCTGGGGCCTACCTAGAGTCTCAGAGACTCAGTGAGTTTCCTATCAGTATACACTGGGTCTGGATACACTGGGCCTGTAAGCCCTAGGTCCGTCTGCTCTGGGCCTGTATACACTGAGCCTCTATACACTAGCTTATAAACACTGGGTCTGTATACACTAGGAATATTTATATTAGGCCTGTATACACTGGGTCTGTATACACTGGGTCTGTATATACTGGACCTCAATACACTGGTTCTATATATACTGGTTTTGCTTTACTTGTGATTTAAAAATCATATTTATTTGTTTGGGGGAGCTAAGGATTTAGCTCTGGGTCTTATGCATGCCAAGAATGTGTCCTACTACTAAGCTACATCTCCAGGGCCTGATTTATGAATCTTTATCTCCCACAAGACTATAAATTTCTTAATCTGATATCCATTTGGAGGGTGGAGTGGGAGGGAAAGTTTCTGAGGATCCTAAATTAATATGCAAATTTTATGCATATATGCATTTTCTAGGCAAAGTGTTCATAATTTTCTTCCAAATCTCACGAGAGGTCTATATCCCAAAAGTGGTATGAAGGTCTTCATTGTTCCAGAAGTTGATTGTAGGCAGAAGTGGGCTGTGCTCAGCATTATTGTCTAGGCACGGGCCTTGGCATTAGGTGTTAAACATTAACATTTTTAGAAGTAATTGGCTTGGAGCAAGATTGAAAGAAACCGCATGTGAGGAGCTGCCTCTGTGTAACCCCTTAGTTCAGACATGTGCCATGTGTCCTAGGCCTCGCTCCTCTGTCCCAGCATTGATCATGTTAGTAGTCCCTCACCCCCCCCCACACACATCTCACCTGCCCATCTCACTCCCACCCACCGCAGCGGCTCTCTGTTTCTCTAACCTAATCAGCATGCCAGATAAAGAGCAGGGAATCATCTGCTAATAAACCAATGAAGGGATGGTAGGAGCATGGATGGATGGGATGTACGAATGGATCAATTGATTAGTGGACGGATGGGTGGATGAGTAGATGGATGGGTAGACAGGTAGGTGGGTGGGTTGATGGATGAATAGGTGATGGGCAGATGAGTGAATGATGGACAGATGAGTGGATAGGTAGATAAAAGGATGGGAGAGTGGAATACATATGTGCATATATATCGCATATATGATGAGGAGATAGGTAGATGAATTAGTGGATGGATGGATGAATGGGTGGGAAAGTGGATGGATTAGTGAATGGATAGATGGATAGATGGATGGATGGATGAATGGGTGGATGGATGGATGGGTGGATGGATGGGTGGATGGGGTATGAGAAAAAGCAAATGAATTTAAAACATACACTAAAAAGAAGTGTCATTTTACAGAGGTCGTCACCTCCAAGCCTCTCTGCAGTAAGGTCTCTTGACCCTGGTGCAGGGACTGTGATTATTTGGGCAGGGGAGAAAAGAAATGTAATATAGCAAATGTAGGAGAGTGGGGTAGGAGAGGCAGCCCCAGATGCCATTAGAAGGGTCTTAAGAAGAATCCTGAGCAAAGAGAATCTGTAATTGGTCTTTCCCCCCGGAGATTGGGATTCTGGGAAACTCAGATTGGAACTCAGGCAGAGGCTTGGCAGTGGGACTTATTATTCCAGAACAGGTTACCTATGAAGATGACAGAGGCCTTCCGGAGGGAGGCCCGTGGATTCTTGGCAAACTCCAGGCTCTGGCTGAGGAAAGTGAAGACGCTGTCTCGGTGAGAGTTCACCTGGAGTGAAGAGAAAGCGCTAAAGTGCTGGGCCACTACCTCAAAGTTAGGGGCAACTGTTCTACCTGCCAGCACTGCCCTGACCCGGCTCCTCAACACCCCTGCTGCCCGGATCTTTGCCAGAGGCCCCCAGGGCTCAGACTCTGTCTTCTTTTATCTGACTGAAATCATCACTTCTAATGGCATGCCAGCCCGGGTCTCCTATCAATCAGTCGGTCTCCTGGTGTAATGGAGGAAGGTTCCACATTGCAGACCCCACACAAGCATGCAAAGAGCAGCTGGACTAGCCAGGATGAAAGACTGGAGCTACAGAGCAATGAGGAATTAGCTGGAGGACTGAGGAGGCTCAAAAGACAGGCACAAAGGAGGCATCCTCTTGCACTGGAAAGTGCAGGCGTTCACTCGTGATTGGTGCTGAAAAAGCCGTGCTTTGTGCAGGAGAGCCTGACAGAGACCAGCAGGATGGCCCTGAGAGAGCTGGGAGCAGTTGTTCAGGTAGGAGGCTACTGAGAGAAAGAAAACTGATCTACTCCCTCTCCTGTTGACAACCTCTGCAGGCCAAGGCCAAGGTCTGAACTCCCAGGTCTGGCAGGCAAAGCCCTTGCAATCGTACTGAGTCTTCATTTAACTGCCTCCACTGTCACACTCACGTTGCTCTGCAGCAACAGCCCTAGCCAGCTCTCTGCCCTGTACGGGGATTGCTCCTATTTAGCGTAGCCTTGATGGAAATGTAAATCGTACACTTGATGAGGGTACATGAGACTATTTATTATGGGGAGGTAGTTACAAGAGAAACCGGCAACCCGGGTTAGTCTCAGCAGCTTTCCGAGACCAGACCGGAACCCCGAAAAGAGACCTAGTGCCTCTCTGCACAACCCTTTATTCCCCACTTCCGTATGCACCTGTAGCCACACCCAAAATGGGTGTGGTCAGCAACACAGGTGCCTAGGTCTCTCCCTACATACCCTCCCCTCCCCATCTGACAAATTGCCTCTCATCCTTCAAGTGTCAGTTCAGATGCTAACTCCCACTGAAGCCTCCAATGACTCTCAGGGAGTGCTCATTCACCATTTTTGTTTGTTTTGTTTTGTTTTCAAGACAGGATTTCTCTGTGTATAGTCTTGGCTGTCCTGGAACTCGATGTAGACCAGGCTGGTCTGCCTCTGTCTCGAGTGCTGGGACTAAAGGCGTGTGCCACCAATGCCCGCTATCTTAATGCTTCTGCAGCATCTTGTACATCCTCAGCCATGGTACCCAGAACTGTAACTGTTAATTGCACACCCTTTCCCCCCATTGAATGTGGAGCTCTTCCAAGATAAGGGAACCTTTCCCTCTGCTCAGAGTCCTCAGCACCCTGGACAGGACTTGTATTGGGGCTGCTGACCAGAAACCGCTAAAAGGGTGGTTCCCAGCCTGTGGGTCTCAACCCCTTTCACTAAGACCATTGGAAAACACAGTTACTTACATTAAGATTCATAACAGTAGCAAAATTACAGTTATGGAGTAGCAATGAAATAATTTTATGGTTGGGGGTCATCACAGCATGAGGAACTGTATTAAAAGGTCACAGCATTAGGGAGGTTGAGAACCACTGTCCTAGACGAATGAATGACCTATAGTTGATTAGTTCATTGATTAACAATAAGTCACTGGTCTCTTCTTAAAGCTACAACTAGAGGTTAACTTCCTTGTATTCAATTTTTTTTGAGACAGGGTTTCATGTAGCCCACCCTGGGTTCCCGAATGCACCACCACACACCATCAAACAGCACCGCACCCACACCACCAAGCTGGGGTTATGGGTGCTAAGGATCTAGCCTAGGGTCTCAGGCATGCTAGGCAGTTACTCTACTAAATGAGCTGCAGCGCTCAGCCCAAGAACTTACCTTTCTTGGAAGCAAGGAAAGCAAGGAGAAAGTGGGAATCCAGAGGGATCCACCATGGAGGTACAAACTGACAATCACAAACCCCAAATGGTCTACAGAGCAGTGCCGAGCACAATGTATATGGGTGTTTTGTTTTGTTTTTAGACAGACTCACTCTATAGCACAAGACTCAAACTCCTAGCAGTCCTCCTGCCTCAGCCTCTCATGTGAATGTATATATGGGGTGTGTGTTCACAGGCATGCACTAGCATACTCCTGTCACTAGAGATACTGCCTGCGAATTTCCATTGCAGAGAAGGGAACCAAAAGGCCAGGCATGGTGGCACGTGTACGAGGAAGCCCAAGGACAACCCCTGCTGTTGTTCTTTGGGTGCCATTCACTTTGTTGTTTTGTTTTCTTTTGAGACAAAGTCCCTCATTGGCCTGGAGCTTACCGAGTAAGCTGGGCTGCTTTTCCAGTCAGTCCCAGGGATCATCCTGTCTCTGACTCCCCACTGCTCAGAGTACAAGTGTGTGCCACCACACCAGGATGTTTTTGTTGTTGTTGTTGTTTACATAGATTCTTGGGAATTGAACTCGGGTCCTTGCGTTTGCAAAACAAGCACTTTACCAGTTGAACTTACCAGTTGCCTCAAAAGCCCTCGAAATAAGCTAAATTGACTGTTAATGTCTTGCAAGAAAAAATGTAGACTTCTATCTTTTCTTGTGGCAAGAGGGCTGAATTAGTGAGCCCAGACCCTATACTCCTGCCTTTGATGGAGTGTGACTCTCCTGACTCCCAGGACACTCTACTTCCATGTCACAGAGGTCATTGTCTACCAAGTGATCAGCCACTGCAGGCATGTGAATTAATGATCTTAGCAAACATTTCTTCAACACATCCTTTTCCCTCTGTAAAATGATGGTAATAACACTAGGTGCTGATTGCAGAACCCTTGAGCTCAAGTGTCACTGTTAGCAGGGGTTTCTGACTCAGTCTGACAACCATCTGTTCCTTTGGACATTTGTGTTGGGTGGGGGTACTGGTAGCCCCCCAGGTTTCACTTCAAATGGGAAGCGTTCATTTATGGACATAGCTGGGCTGAAAACTGCCAGCACCAAGGTCATGCCTCCCCCTTTTTTTTTACCATGCCTGGGACCCACACACAGCTGGATGCCAAAGTATAAAGATCTAACCCCAGCTATGCAAAGGGCTCATGCCTGTGGCCCTAGCTATCTAGGAAGCTAAGACAAGAGTATCACTCAGCTCTTAAGAGTTCAAGGTCAGCCTGGACAACATGGTGAGACCCTGTCTCAACAATAAAAACAAACGAGCCGACCCCCCTGGTGCCTGTTTGGAAAAGTCAGTGCAGGATTGTCTGAGAACTCGAAAACCACGGAGGTGAAGGCCCAAGAGCCAATGGCTTGGAGGAAGTAATGTGAACTGCCAGTCAGAATGCGGAACAGATGACTTCTGGTCTCCAACACCCTTGGAAAGAGTCAGTAAACTTACAGGAAGCACTCACAAGATACTTGCAAATTTTTGTCACCGTCTGTAGGTGGTTTTCCCAGGGCTTCTGGCTGTAAGCCCTTTTTGGCAACTCCCAGTTCATGAAGCAAGAACATCGGAACAGGGTCTTCACACATTTCTGCAGACCAATGGGAAGAAAATACCAGCAGTGTGGAATTCCAGGACAGCAGACCTCCGGGGGTGGGAAATCCATGTAAAAACAGGATTTGGGGGCTAATGAGATGACTTAGTGGGTAGAGGGGTTCACCACTCACACCTGGCAGCTTGAGTTCTGTCCTCAGAACCCATGTAGAGGTAGAAGGACAGAACCAACTCCACAGAATTGTTATCCGACCTCTATGTGCACAGGATGGCATGTGTGCCCATACCCATGCATCACACACACACAATTTTTAAGTTGGATTTTGGAAAACCAAGTTCTGTTTGAAAGGCGTGAATGGAAACACTGAGGCTGTAGCTCAGCGGCCTTGTGTGCGTGAAGCCTAAGGAAGGCTTGATCTTCAGTGTTGCAAGCAAATAAATAAAAACTAAAGGAAGAAAACAAGGGCGCATGTGAAGTTAACTTTTAGTGGGGGGAGGATTCTGTCCAAGATGCCTCTAGAAAACACACCTGGTTAGAGGTAAATATCTGCTTTCCATGGGCGGGCGCCAATCCTGGCCTGGCTCTGTAAAGGAGGTGCCCCCTTCTGTGCCTGCTCTCACCTGGCCCACCTTGGCATTGCCCTCCTGCACGACGAGGAGCAGGGGCAACAGCGTGCTGGTCAGCTGCTCCTCCAAGGCTTGGGTGCAGGGCATCTGAAGCTTCTGAACCACTTTCCCATATACATTGATGCAGGACACCCGTACCTCTTCTCTTGCCTGGGACAAACCAGAAGCTCAAGGGGAACCTCTCACCCAGGAGGAGGCTCCACAGCCTTCCTGTCCCTCGTTTGTGAGATCTTCTTGGCACAAAGACAGAGAAGAGCCCAGGCCACGTGGTGGGGCTGACATGGGCCAGCTCCCTCCTCACTGAGCCTAGGCTTGGTGTTCTCCATTCTGTCCAGCCATGTCCCACTGTTCTAAAGATGCCATTGCGTCAACTGGGGCTGCCAAAAACGGTCCCCATTAACCAACCAGTGGCAGTAAGTCTACCTTCTCTGGGAAAACTGATCACAAAAGGACTCCCTTCTGGAAAGGCAGTTGGGCTGAGGTGCCCCTTCCTCTTAATCTGAATCAGGTCTGACCAGAGCCCAGTGTGGTGGGGTGGTTGGGAAATATTGCACCCTCAGGTGTTGACTGACCCTGCTCTTCCCACGCTTCCCCTTCCCGCGCTTCCCCTTCCCCTCCCGACGCCTTACATCACTGAAGTGAGGCAGCAGGGCCTGCAGCATCTCCACATAGACTGAGCTGTCCATTAGCTTCTTGGCCTGCCCCTTGAAGATGGTCTTGAGGTCATGGACAGCCTCCACCACCAGCGCCCCGTCCATGCTCTTCAGGCACTTCACTATGGAGGGCAGCAGGGTCTGCACCTTAGCCATCTGTGGGATGGAAGCATGGAGGAGGGGGCTTCCAGCAGATAGGAAATCCAGCCGCCCATCCACAGAAGACCTGGGCAGCCCAGCCCTAGTTTTACCACCAGGCCCTGCCTATATCTTGTCACCTTTTCTGAACTCCCTCCCTAAAGCCTTCTCTGGTCTCATTGATTCTCTCCTGCTGGGACACTGAATCCCTTTTGGCTTATTCCTTCCTCTGGGCCCTGGTGGATGATACCCTTTATCACAAGTTAACTTTCTGATTCTATGCCCTTTCCCCTTCTTCCAAGCTGTGTCGCAAGCTCCAGCAGTACCTACTAGAGAAAATAGGGCAGTTTCTATGACCCACAAGATAGGAATAATTACTACCACCCCTTCCTGTCTACATATTGCCTATAGGGATATGTGCAAAATCTGGATCAGGAAATACTGAAAAAAGAATACAATACATAGGGATTGGGCAGGCAAATTCATCTTATAGATGGGACCGCTGAGAGTAGGGGGACATAGACTCTGATTCCAGTAACCAACATCTGAGAGACTATGGCAGCTGAACCCTAGCTCCCTCTAGCCCAGGGCCTAGCAGCGCTGGGCTTCCCTCAACCCTCTTCTCACCTTCTCAGACCTACCGGCCAGAATGACCAGGCCCCGGATGGACAGCACCTTCATGATGGGGTCACGATGGCTCAGGCCTTCCACCATCCGCCCCAGGGAGTACTCCTCGGGGATGCGCCGCACCTGCTCCATGCGGAACAGCTGAGAGAGAAAAACTGCACTGAGGCGAGGGGTACACGGCCCACTGTCTCCCTGGGACTCCCAGGACCTGCCTCCACCTGGGGCTGCGGACTTGGAAAACTAATGGTCACTAGTGCTTTCCCGAACATTGATCAGAAACTGATGGGAATGTTCAAGTTGTCTGTCCCGTGTGCCTCTGCATCACCCGGCTCCTGACTCCTGCCCGCCTCTCTGGCCTCCTTCATTCTTTGTCCACCCTGCTGCCCACATTCCTCCACTAGCCAGCCATCTTCCACCGTCCCTCAAATGACCAGGCCAGTCTGTCCCTCCTGTGCGTGCAGTACGCCCTTCAACTAGGACAGACACTGGCGCTCTCACCCCCATAACACGCACAGCTCCTTCCTAAACTCAAGCCCAGGCTGAACGCTCTTCTCTCGGTCCCAGGAACTCTGAGGCAGCAACTAGGAACCTCAGTGTTCCATCTGCCCTTCGGTCCTCCTGGACTTCTGGGGCCTTCCTATAGGACAGAAACTTGGCTCTTGTGGGGGGCATCACTCAGTTCAAGAATCGGGGTGGAATGTGTGTTTGCTACAGGAATCAAGAGGACTGCTCCTCCTCCATGCCCCATTGCACGGTTACCACCATCAACAAAAACCCTCCCTCATCTCCCTCTTCTGCCTCATACCCTCCCTCCTTTCCACAGGCAATGGTCATTGGTTCTCACCACCTCACTCTCACAAACAACAGTCTATCACCTTGGCTGCCACTGTGGAGAGCCATGTCTTCGGGATGGGGAGTACCGGGAGGAGGAGCTGGAGGAGAGGGCGGGATTACCGGCTAACCATCAGAGACAGAAGGAAGGAAGGACCACACCACCGCTGCCTTCTGTCTGTCCATGAAAGCTACTCAAGGCTTTCTGTACACCAGGCTGTGGGCCAGGCATGAGACGCAGGGATAATGGTTCCTATCTCTTTTACTTGCAATGTAGGAAATCAGTCTCAGAGCCTCGCATGTGCCAGGCAAGCCCTCTGCCACTGAGCCACATCTCCTACGGGGCATTGGTAACTCAGTTAGTTAACTAATTAAGTTAGTTTTTGAGACAAGGTCTCACTCTGTAGCCTGTGCTGGACTAGAACTCACTATGTACCCCAAAGCTAGACTTGAACTCATAATAATCCTCCTGCCTCAGCCTTCCAAGAGCTGGAATTACAGGCATGAGACACCATAGCCTCACTGATGAGTCTGGGAAAAACAGATATACAAATAATCATGGAAAGGGGGCTCTGGATGTCTAGCAGTGGCATCTGAAATCAGAGAACATGGAAGTAATGGGTCCACGGAGATGCAGGCGTCTCTCCTGGGGAGGAGAGAAAAGCCAGGCCTGGGATCATTGGTCCTGGAAACAAGGATTCTGCTCAGGACTCCAGGTCTGGCAAGGTCTGGCCCCCATCCCGTCCCCTGAGAACCTGCTGGCAGCCATGAACAAACTCAGAGAGCCAGCAGGATAGAGGAGTAAGTCAGGAAGACCTGGCCGGGGCCTCCAGACTCTCTGAGCTGAGTGACGCCTGACCTCCCCTGTCTCTGAACAACACAAGCCCTTCTGTAGAAGCATACAGATTTGGGGATGACATGAGGATGAGGTGGGTAATGTTTAACGGACTCCACATAACTGGGATGTTCTCTGTCTTCCCTGCCATGCTGAGAACCCCTCGAGGCCAGTGCAGAGGAGTCAAGGTCACATTTGTATCTCTGGTGCCTGACACATGGTGGTGCCCAGCAAAGACTAATGGGTGCCTGGAGTTTTCAGAGAGTCTGGAAGGGGAGTACAGGGGTGCGGAGAAGAAGGCACAGGAGAAAGACCTATGGAGCCTTCATACTGAAAAGGAATGAAGGTCCCGGGAAGGCTTTGGAAACTGTAAAGTGCTATTTCCCCGGAGAAATGACCATAACGACACTCAAGGCCCTGCATGACGGTCCCCAGGTCCCCAGGAAGTACCTCCACAAAGAAGGCGGTGGCTGTGACCTTGTGTTTCTCGTCACCTCTCTCCAAGAGCGGGATGAGCAGGTAGAGGATGCGACACAGCTCTTGGCAGGAGTACTGCACCATGGCCCTGGGGGGGGGACAGACCCTCAGGCTCCCAGGCCCACAGGCCTGCTGCTGGAGGCCTGACAGTGACTGCAAACCCTGGCCAGGCAGGGTCACTCCGGTCCCTCTGACCCTAGCCTCTGCACCTGGGTGATATCTCAGAGTCGGTTTTACTTAACTGCTTCTTTATGCGGGTGGGGAGGTGAGATCCAAGGTGGGAAGGAGACTTGGTGGAGGAAACAGGACAAGCGGAAGCCCTCCCAGGACTGCGCAGGAGGCCAAGGCAGAAGGAAGGGGGTGTGAGAGTTCACTCACTGAGGCCAGCAGCGGCCAGCCTCCCACCTTGTCACCCCACGGGCTCTCCACACCACCCTTCCAGACAGGCCACTTTGAATATCCACGGTTCACAGAGGGCGCTAAGGCTCTGAGTGGGGCTGACTCAGCTCTCGGAGATGGAAAGTGGCAGAGCTGTGGCCCCAACCAAGAGTTCCTGCTGCAGCAGCCTCATTCCTCCCACCGAGCCAGCAAGTGATGGAGTGCCCCACCCACATGCCCCACCTACACAGCCAGCATCAGCCCCACATGGATCTCGGGACCCTAGCCCACACCCACTGAGGTGATACATCAGGGCAGAGTGCTGCCAGCCAAGATGACCTGATGTTTGCTCTCCTGTAAGGACCACGCACAGCTCTTCATGGGCCACTGAATCTAGGAGAGTATCTGTCATGTATGGAATTGAAGCTGAGGGAGTCTGGGTTCAAATCCTGACTCCAGCATTTGCTGTGTGACTTGGGACAGGCACTTAACATCTCTGGGCCTCAGTTTCCTCCCGTTTAACCCTCATATAGCCATAGTACTGTTTCTTTAGTGCTGGTAAGAACCTAAATGGAGTTGTGGTCCATGTAGCCCCTTTTTGCATGGTTCCTGGAGAACAGTTAGTTCTCCATCAAGTGACTGTGTACTGAACCCAGGGAGAGGCTCTTATAGCAGGCGTTACAGGACCAGCACAGAAGTCAAGATGCCCCTCTGTGGCCAGGGGAGGGTGCGTGTGTTTGGAAAGGAAGCACTAGTCTGGCAAGGGTGAGAAGGCCCAGGGTAGGAAGGAGACTTGACAGAGGGCACAGGGCAAATCACGCTACCACTTCCTCCCTGTGCGGCCTTGGAGAAATGACCCAGATGTGTTCCTGTGCGGCAGTGTCCCCAAGGTGCAGAGAAGACATGAGAGGGAACAAAAGCTGTTGCTGAGGAAAGCAAACGTGGGCGTGTCTGAAGATCTGGAGGGCCCACCCTGCTCCACTGAGGTTCGCACCTCACCTTGCCAGCAGGGACACTCCCCGGTAGTGGTTCTCTGCCTGGCCCATGAGCTCCCAGCCACCCTTCTCCTCCAGGAACGTAGACTCATAAGAGCAGCCCATTTTCAGTAGCAGGGTTTTCACCACCTTCACCATCCAGCTGCCAAGACAAGGGGGTAAAGTCCTGTACACTGTGCGCCTCCGCCTGGCCCATGTTGCCAAGGCTCGCATCCCCACCACCGCCACCACCGCCGCCACCGCCGCTGCAGCCACTACCAAGCTTCTTCTCAACTACACTGTCAGCAGTGTGCTCTGGGCCCACAACAGTACAACAGTGACTCTACAAGTAACGAATGGCTTTCAGAAGATGACAGGAAACAGAACAAAGGCCGCCCTCCACCCTCCCTGTCTTTGGGGCCTTGCCTACTGCAGGAGCTTACTGCTGGCCAAGCTTTCTTTCCTATGTCTTGTCTCTTCCCTTCTCCACTCCCCATCAAGCCATGGCTGTCTTGGCAGCCCGCAGGACAGTCTTCTGCCAGTGCCCCGAGTCCCTTTTTGCCTCGGGGCCTTTCAGGAAGGTCTCCCATCTGCCTGCCTAGCAGAAGACCCTGGGGAGTTGTCATACCCAGGGAACTGAGCAGAGCTCACAGGTCCCAAGTGAGCTAGGGAGCTGGAGGGTACTACCGCCTGCTAGCCACCAACTGGATGTCTAGCCCAGCCTATTTTAGGTGGGAAGTCACAGGCCATAGACTGCTGGGATGCATTCTGAGAAAGGCCTCAAGAGCCGGTGGCCATGTGTGAGCATCGTAGCATGTCCTTATTCTAGCGTACATAGTGCTGCCTGGGCTTTTCTACAGTCTTAGGGAAACCACCATTGTGGGAACATAGTTTGAGAATGGAGTCACATGAGAATTCTGAATGCTTGTAAGAAAACAAGAGTCCTGTGACCTCAGTTTCTTCAAGACACAGAACTGTTCTTGGAAGTCGGGCAGTGGTGGCGCATGCCTTTAATCCCAGCACTCGGGAGGCAGAGGCAGGTGGATCTCTGTGAGTTCGAGACCAGCCTGGTGTACAAGAGCTAGTTCCAGGACAGCCTCCAAAGCCACAGAGAAACCCTGTCTAAAAAAAAAAAAACAAAAAAAATTGTTCTTGGAGTGTGTTTTCATGCTCCTCCCAGGTGTAGTAGATAGGAGTATGTTTGCTTCAGATTACTCATTATTGCTTGCTCTTGTTATTCAAGTAAATTTTTAACTGTCCTCTATATGCCTCTGTGGAGAAACATGATTGTCCTTGTGATTGTGTACAGCTTGGAATCACCAGAACTTTAGTCATGTGACCTTTCTTAACAGAGTATAAGCCGTCTGGAGCTCTGATTAAAGTCGGCTATCACGTGAGACTTTAGTCCGCCTCACTTAGCCGCTCCTTTCTCTCAGGTCCCACCACGTTGAGAGCGCCAAACACACGGTCAGTAGATTCATCCTGCCATTGACAGAAGCATCAGAGACACAAACTATGATTCTAAACTGTTAAAATAAGATAATGTATGGAATTGTTTCCCAGAAACCTAAACATTGGCTTGAAGAGTTCTTAGTGGAGACGTAACTCCCATGGTACCATGAACTGTTGGTTCTTGGGATTCAAGACAAAGTTTAAGCCAGACTTGGTGGCAAACAGCCAAAATCCCAGCACTCAGGGAGGAGAGGCAGAAGAGCCCCAAAGTAAAGGGGAACTACAGCAACAAAGTGAGACCCCGTCTCAAAAGAGGTAAAGGCTGGGCAAGTGATAGGGTACTTTGGAGTATGCAAGATCTGGGTTTCAATACCAGCACCAAAAATAGAGATGAAAATGCAACATTTTATAATGAAACCCTGGAACTGGATGCTGGTTTTTTTTTTTTTTTTTACATATGCATTTGTTTAAGAAATAGCACTTCAGTGTGGAAACCAAAGCTCCTAGGGCAGGATCTGCAGGTCAGTCAGCCTCTGTACTAGCCCCCTACTGGTTACTCTGTGTTCAAACGAGCAAGACAGCACTTGCCATATTAGCTTCAAGACTGGCGTTCAAATCCCCAGATCTCAGGTAAATGCTGGGTGGGCATGGCAGACTGTGTATAATTCAGTCTCAGAGGTAGAGATGGGAGATCCCCTAGAGCAAGGATGAGCTGCGGGTTTGATTGAGAGACCCTGCCTCTATGAAGAAGGCAGAAGAGTGATTGAGGATGGTATCAACCTGAGGGCACACATGCGTGCACACACATGTCTACACACATGCCCACACGCATGCAGACATACACACACATGTGCATATCGCATACACACCATGAAAATGGAAAGAAAAAAGTACAAGACAGGCCTGGTGGCAGGCACTGAGATATAAAGCAGGAGGATCACAGGTTAAGGCCAGCCTGAGTTACAGAGTGAGTTCAAGGCCAGCCTTAACAATACAATAAGGAGCCGGGCGTTGGTAGCGCACGCCTTTAATCCCAGCACTCGGGAGGCAGAGGCAGGAGGATCTCTGTGAGTTCGAGGCCAGCCTGGTCTACAGAGTGAGTTCCAGGACAGCCTCCAAAGCCACAGAGAAACCTTGTCTTGAAAAACCAAAAACCAAAAAACAAAAAAACAAAAAACAAAAACAAAACAATACAATAAGGTCCTGTCTTGAAAAAAAAAAACTAACTAAAAAGAGGGATACGGCTCAGTGGCGGAGTTACCTACCACTCCTGAGGACCTATGTTCAAGATCCAGCACGGAAGTTGGGGAGACACAGAACGAGGGAAGGAGGGAGCAGCCTCTCATACCACCCTCTTCCCAGATGGCTAAGCCAAGCCATCAGGCCTGGGCTGGGAGAAAGGCTTTCCCTCCCAACCTCAACAGGAACAACTTCGTGAAGCAGACGAGGTCCCATCAGGGCTCCCTGCAGCCAGGCTGGCCTCCCGTCCTGCACGGTGCCTCTGTATGGTCAGCTTTGGTCCCCTTCATGCCAACCGTCCTGGGGCAGCGCTGAGCTCAGGAGCTCCAAGGAAAGGAAGTGAAGAAATTCCAGACAGCAACCTCAGGCCTGACAGTCCTGGGTCCGGCTCTGGATGCACAAAGCCCACTTCCAAGACCAGGCTGACATAACTCATTACCACCACCACCACCCACTTTTGTGTTAGTGCAGGGGCAAAGGTCACAGCCGGCCAGGAAGAGCCGCTGTGTGAATGAATAATCTTGCAGATGAATCTGCACTTGGGCCTAAGCTACAGCATTCCAGTTTCTTCCTCTCCCCTCGGCTCTTCAGCATTTTGACAAAAATGACCCTGTGTCTCTACCCAACTCCCAAGCTTTGGCTGGAGGACAAAGATAGCAAGCACCCATGAAAAGGAAGAGACGGCTACTGGAGGCAGGAGGCCCAGGTGATGGGATGGCTCTACGGGCCACCAGGTACCCACGTGCAAGTTCCACCTGCCTGCCAAGCAGAGCAGAGCAAGGGGCACCTTGAAATTTCATCCCCAGTCCCTGAATGGTGGCTGGAGAGCCATGGCCCGACCCAGAGCAAATTAAAAGCCTAGGGCTGCCATAGCCTTCAGACCATGCCTGTGCCCATGAGCTTGAATCCAGGATCCTCTTTCCTTCAAACTCATATGAGACATGTCACCTGGTATCAGTAGAGCTGTCACATTCACAGGCCTGGGCTGGGAGAAAGGCTTTCCCTCCCAACCTCAACAGGAACAACTTCGAGAAGCAGACAAGTATGGCCCTCTCCATACGTCTGTAGGTGACTTTTCCATCTGTCACCTGAGTCTGGAGCACCAAGGATTCACACAAAAGGCCTCCCCACAGTGTGGCTGCTGTGGCTAGCGACCACGGGTACCTTAAAGCAGCAGGAATGACTCTGCTGGTTCTAGGGGCCAGAACCCAAATTCAAGATGTTAGCAGGGCTATGCTCCCTCTGGCAGGGCTGTGCTCCCTCTGGCAGGGATGTGCTCCCTCTGGCAGGGCTGTGCTCCCTCTGGCAGGGATGTGCTCCCTCTGGCAGGGATGTGTTCCCTCTGGCAGGGTGTGCTCCCTTGAAAACTCTAAGAGGAGGTCTTCCCTTCATGAACCAGCTTCCTTGCTTGGAGAAGACCATGTCCTCTCTGTCCTGGAAAACTGCCTTCTGGCTGTGTCCCAGAGTTTCCTCTTCTCACAAGGACCTTGTCATGGAATTCAGGGCCCACATAGTTAACCTAGGACAAGTTCACCTAAACATCCTTAAAGACCACTCTTCCAAATCAGGTCATAGTCACAGGTTCCACGTGGATGGATCTTTGGGGGCACTATTCAGTTCCTTCATCCAGGCACCATTTTAGGGCTCTTTGGTCCCTTCAGCCTGGAAGTTGCCTCTTTTGCTTTTGCTACCTCCCTGGCTATGGCCATGCTGAAGGTAGGGTGGGCTGTCACCATATTGTTGGTAAGGTGGCTGTCACTGTGATGTGGTTAGTGTGGGTTGTTGCTGTGCTGACGGTAGAATAGGCTGTCACTATTGCTGTAGGTAGGATGGACTGTCACTGCGATGTGGATAGGATAGGCTGTCACTGTGCTGTAGGTAGGGTGGGCTGTCACCATGCTGTAGGTAGTGTGGGCTGTTGCTGTGCTGCTGGTAGGGCAGGATGTCACCATGCTGTAGGGAGAGTGGGCTGTCACTGGACCATGGGTAGGGTAAGTTGATACCATGCCGCCGGCTAGGGTGGGATATCCTGTGCTGTGGTTAGAGTTGGTTGTCTATGGATAGGATGGGCTATCACTTTTCTGTGGATAAGGTGAACTGTCTCTGGGCTGTGGGTAGGGTGTGCTATCACCATGGCTATGGGGTAGGGCTTCCTTCCAGTGGTCCTGTGGTCTTAGCTGAGTTGACTCCTCTCTTGGAAGCCATGCCCTTCATCACTTCCAGAAAAGGATGTCTCTATCTGTGTTCTTCCTCCTACTGTGGATGCAGCACAGCACCCCTTCCTCTTTTGCAGTTTCCCAGGAACCGGCAGCCCCAGCAAGCACAGGCAGAGATGCAAGAGGGCGCACAGATGGCAGGTGTCTCTCTAGAGGGGTGGGAGGCTATTACTTCTCACAACTATTGGGCAGACATTAGCCACCCATCTCTTGGCAGGGGGGCCTCCAAAGGATTAGTACCCCCGCCCTCCCCCTGCCAAAAAACAGAGCCTGAGTGATAGATAGGTCTGCATCAAAGGCCTCCAACCACACACAACTTGTCCCTTGCCCTTCTAAATATGCTTCTGTAAGTACCACGCACGAAAGGATGAGAAAGGGAAACTGATGAGCATGCCATGTAAATAGCTAACTTTTTGAATGACAAAAAAACATGAAATAATCGCAGCTCAAGTGACTAAAGTTAATGTAAATGACAGTTCCCTTAATAACATGATCCTCATAAATTAATAGGGAAGATGAAAATAAAATTAATTAAAAATTGCTAAGAAAAATCCCCAATAGTCCTATATGAAAGGTCAAAGGGCAACGTGCACACATAAATGGGAATACAAATGCCATTTAAATCTCAGGTTCATTTAAATGAGAGAAATGAAAACTAAAACTCCAGCTCATATTTGCGCGCGCATGCACACACACACACACACACACACACAGCATACCAGGTATGGTGGTGGTGGAACCCTAACATCCCAGCTCTCATAAATGAGGCAGGAGAATCAGAGATTCCTTTTAAAGACATTATCTAAAGAACAAAAAAGAAAAAAAAAGGAAAGAAATCCATTTTTGCGACTTAGATTTGCAAAGATTAAAATGTTCTGCAATACGTTACCCTAGAATAAATGTGGAGATATAGGCACTGACACAGACCACAACTACTGGTGACATTTTCCTCTGTGCACACTGGCAAATGGGAGAGTTGAGGAATTACTACATCTCAGCTAATCTTTGTGTGTGTGTGTGTGTGTGTGTGCACACGAATGTGTGTGTGTGCTCGCGCTCACGTGCACTCGTGTGTGCACATTCAGAGGTCAGAGAATCAGTTCTGTTCTCCACCACGTGGGTCATGAGGACGGCACTCGGGTTGACGGCAAGCACCTTTAGCTGCTGAGCCATCTCACCGGCCCTTCATTTAAATTTTCATCACTCAGGGGTCAAGAACTTTTTCCATCATGCATTCCTACGCCATTTTAGCATCCCTTCGAAGAAGCCCATTGATGCCCCACCCTTCAGGAGTCCATGCTACACACACACAATTACATGCATGCATCTATGCAAGCAAGCCCACAGTGCTGTCATCTGCAGTTGCAAAGGGCAAGAAGCGCCCGAATCAGGAGGGCTGCACACATGGTGACTGAGTTTCTGCGCATAAGGCTGCTCGGCAGCTGTCAAAAATAACGTATGTACGAAGACCTCCAAGACTCGATGCAAATGCGCACCCGTGGCATGCATGGGCTAGGACCTCTAAAAATAGAATGCAAATCCATGTGCTCATCTACACTAGCTACCCTTGAAAAGGCATGAGAGAAAACTCGCTTGTCTTTTGGGAAGGTATCTGAGGTGCGAACAGGAAAAAGAGTTGATTTTAATGCCCTCCCTCCCCAGTGTGCACATACTGTATTCCAATTAATAATTAAGAGCACTGGTGGATCTGTGCTACACATCTAATACGAGCAAGCCCTCTGGGGGTGGTAGTGGGTAAAGGTCCTTGGACACCTGATCCTTTCCCACCATTGAGCAGAGCTGTGGGAGCAGAAAAGGGGAGCAGAACCAGCCGGGGAGCAGAAGTGCGACTCCAATAACACGGTGTTCCTAGTGTCTGTGGAGGCAGCTCCGTGGGTAGAGAATGCTTTTCCAGCATGAACCAAGCCCTAGGACCAGATGAACTGGGCAGGGTGGAGCATGCCTATAATCCCAGTGACTAGGGAGATGGGGACAGGGGGAATCACAAGTTCAAGATCGCCCTCAGCTTCATAGCAAGCTTGGGGCCAGCCTGGACCACGTGAGCTCCTGTTTCCAAAAACAAAGGGACGCTCTGCTTCCTCCTCGAGTGCTAGAATTAGTGTCTATGAATAAGATGTTTGAGGGGCCCTTGCTGGGTAGGTAGCGCTCCGCACTGCAAGGACGGCAGGGCAGAGAGACGGCGGGCCTACCGTACAGGTACGAAGATCGGAGGCTGGAAGTCATCTTTGGCATCCTTTCGAGGAGCCACACGGCAGGGCAGGTTGAGGCCGATGTGGTAATGGACCTGAATAAGCAGGGCCAGGAGCAGCTGAGGGTAGATCCGCCTCACACGACCCACACAGCTGTTGACGGACAGGAGCTCACACAGGCCACTGGCTGCCTAGGGGTAGAGGGGCGTGGCTTGACCCAGTCCATCCTCCCAGCACTGCTGGCAGAAGCCTAGTTTATTGCTCTGAGAAAGTGGGATTGACTCTCTAATCCAGCCTAGAAATGCATAGCTTCTGCCCCCTCTGGCAGATGGGACCTTACAGCAGGTGTGCTGAGTGGAGTCGAAGGGAAGGGAAGGCAGGTGTCTGGTCCTCACCGCCAGGGGCACGATGGAGGCCCGACCCTTCTTGGTAACAGGCTTCTCCTTCAGGCTAGTCAGGAGCAGATCCAGCAGGTCTCGGACGTCACAGCTGGGTTTCCGAAGGATCAGCTGCCTCCACATCTCTGCCCCGTTGCTAAGGAGGAAGGAGGATCGTTAGTGGTGCCTAGGGCAGAGGCCGCCTGGTGCCAAATGGCTTCAGGGCTGGGGCGCAGTGCCAATGACACGGTATCCATGAGCGTGCGCACAAGGAGTGGTCCTGGAAACATTCTCCATGAGGCAGGGGGCTGACAGTGATTGAGAACCTCGTTTCCAGGGCTCAGACACTATTCTCATTTAGTGTATTGCTCGGCAACGCTCCTTAGAACAGACGTGTGAACCAGGCACCACGCAAATGCCTGAGGACACAGCTGCAGACACCTAGAAGCGCTCAAAGGCACTGACTTCTCACCCTCACAAGAGGACATTATTCCCATTGTACAGAGGCAGAATGGAGGCTCAGGGAAGTAAAACCATCAGTCCAAGATAGCTGCTGCCGAGCTGCTAAGGCAAGATGCTACCGCATCTGATGTCTCTGAAGCTGCCTCCTGGGGGCAGGAGTGGAGGTCACGGAGCCCTTTGGGGCCTGGATCTTGCCCTTACCACAGACTCCCAGAAAGCACAACTCCAGGCCCTCGGCAGGAAGCTACCCAAGCAGAAGGAGCAGCTGCACCAGGGGACACTCCTGCTGTGGGTCATGGGAGCTAACGGGTTAATGAAACCCTTTTTGCCTGAATGCAGGAGCATCTGAACCTTCCACTCATCTCCCGGCTCTGTTCCCCTGGAAACCCAATAAAGATAGTATTTCAAATACGTTGCTAGGCAACATTGCTTATGGTAAAAATGGTCATGTTTATGGCTGCTTGGTACATAACATCTGGATTAGGAGGGACTATCAATTAACTACAAGAACCAATGGGACCGTTAGAGCATGGGGCTTCGCAGGACTGTGACCCTTGTAGCTGGAGTAGTCTCTGAAGAGTCACAGAAAACAAGGCTCATGTAAGAGACTCTGGTCCCTCTGAGTTCCCTGGGTCTCCTACCCCCAGGAAGGGCTTGCTGGCTGTCATAAGTACCACAGACTGTGTAGGAGCAGGGGAGGGCAGGGGCTTCTCTGGACAAGTGTCCAGAGAAGGATGAAAACCTCCTTGCTTGGTACCTGTCCAGCGGGAGGGGGCACATGAGCAGGGCCACCACAACCTCAGTCATGAAGGAGTTGGCCAGGAAGGAGATGGGCAGCAGGGCCACCTCACGTGCCCGCGGCTCCTGGATGTGACCCAGTTGCAAGTAGATGCCCTGCATGATTTCCGGGATCTGGAAGTCGCCATGAGCAGGTGGAGGAAGGCCCATTGGAGAAGCAGAGACGGGCATGAGGAGCGTGAGCAGATGGGAGGGTAGGGTAGAGTAACAAGAGGGGACCAAAAAGACAGGGAGAGGGGGGCAATACAGAAGTGGGGAGGCCTGCTACTCCCCCCGGAGTGAGATAGACCCCGTTACTACTCCCCACTCCTATCAAGCCATTTGGTTTCCCTCGGGGCGGTGCATACTCCTTCCTAGCCCAATGCTAAGCTCCAACCCTGTCCACAGGCAGGCAGGCTACCCCAGGAGAAGCAGGATCCTGGGACTCCCCCATGGCCTGGTATCCTGGCCTCTGCCTCCAAGAGGCCTTACCACCTCCAGCGCCCTGTGACGGTACCACTCCAGCACAGAACTGAGCGTGACCTCCGAGGCCAGCTGCATCATCTCCCCGGAGTCCTTCCCCCGAGTCTCTGAGATGTCCTTCAGGCCTTCCAAGGCTGCTAGCAGCAGGTCCTTTACCTGCTGGGGCCCCAGGAAGTCTCCAAATTCCTGAAATATAGGTATGGAGGTCTTGACACTGCTGAGTAGGGCAGATCCCCTGAGCCACACAGAGAAGCATAGACTCCACCCAACTCCAAGAGAAGGCTGGTGGTGCTAAGCACCACACACATTCTGTAATGTGTGAACATTAGACCCTTTGGAGACTCAGAGGGACAGCCAGGCACCAACGTGCTCCTGCAGCCCAAGCTGCTTGGGAGGCTGAGGAGGCTTGAGGAGGATTACATGAGCCCAGGGGGTTGAGAGCAGCCTGAGGAGCATAACAAGTCTCCATCTTTGAGAGAGAGAAAGAGGGGGGAGGGGAGGCAAACAAACAAGGGAGATATGGTCCCTGCACCCAGAGTCGGCTGGCTTGCACCTCAGAGGAGGAGGAGGTGTCATGGGCCAGAGCAATGGCTCTCAGCCTTCCTAATGCTTCAACCCTTTAACACAGTCCCCCCTGGTGTGGTGACCCCCTCGACCATAAAATTATTTCATTGCTACTTCATAACTGTAATTTTGCTACTGTTACGAATTGTAATGTAAATATCTGATACACAGGGTATCTGATATGTGACCCTGTGGGGGTGACAACCCACAGATTGAGAACCACTGGGCTAGAACACAGAGAGAGAAAGGCGCCCAGAAAGCCTGTGCGGCTGGAGAAGGCTTCCTTCCTAGGATGTTTTCTAGAGGCAACCCCATTTCCCTCCCCTCCTGGACCACTGGTAGTCACCGCAATGACACGGAGAATGTTCTGGCACGGGCTGACAGGGTTGTAGGGCCCTAGGAAGCGCTTGTTGCTCTCATACAGCTCTTTCTTGTTGATCTCTTCCTTGTTCTTGTTTCCTACAGGAGAAGACACTTCTGAGGAACCCTGATCCGACCATCGCTTTGAACTGTCTGCTAAGTCCACATCATCTGCACAGTCCATTTTCACACGGTGAACCTGTGCAGGCAGCTGGCACCCAAGGCAAGAAACAATCCAACCAGCCCCCCAGAAGCCCGCTCAGCATCCCGGGCAACCACTGTTCTGGTTCAGAAGCAAGAGTTCCTTTACTAAATGGACTCCCATAACATTATCCCTCGTGTCCGGTTCCACCCTGCAGCATCTGCTACTTGTTCTCATTCTTTGTCAGTGTGGTACAACTTTCCATGCTGGGAGGGCCTGCAGTGTGTATGCCTGTCTTCCTCGGCATGCACCTCTAGGCTGCTTCCAGGCCTCCTGCGGCATGCTGCTCACATAGCGTGTCTCCTGGTGAATATATCGACGCTTCTGCCAGGGATGTGCCAGGACAGAAATCACCGACTCACAGTAGGCACAGGTTCACCCTCCTGAGACATGCCAGACCTTTTCCCAGCTCTATTTCCACTAGCAGTGTGCAAGAGTCCCTGCTGCTTGAGTCTGCAGCATTATCTGTTTCATTTTGTTATTGCTATTCTAGTAGCCAGCGGCTTTTCTGTTTTCTTTTGGTTTTTAAGACAGGGACTCACCATGTACCCCTGACTGGTCTGGAATTCACTATGTAGACCAGACTGGCCTCTAACGCACAGAGATCCGTCTGCCTCTGCCTCTAGAGTGTAGGGACTAAAGATGTGCAGCCCCCACATCTGCCTCACCCCATCTTCAGTTCTGGGATGGAATTCAGGGCCAGACCCATGCTAGACAAGCATGCTAACCACTGAACACCCATAGCTTTGCAATACTTTTTGTTTGTTTGTTTGAGTTGTTTATGTGTTTGGGTGATATTTTTATTTGGTTGGCTTATTGATGATTTTGCTTGGGTTTTTGTTTGTTTGTTTGTTTGTTTGTTTGGGGTTGTTTTTGTTTGTTTGATTGATTGGTTTTTTTGAGACAGGGTTTCTCTGTGTAGCCTAGGCTGTGGCTGTCTTGGAACTCCCTCGGTAGACCAGGCTGGCCTTGAACTCACAGAGATCTGCCTGCCCCTGCCTCCCGAGTTCTGGGATTAAAGGCGTGCGCCACCAACGCCCAGCCCTGCTTTTGCTTGGTTTTGTTGATACACGGGGGCTCACATAATCCAGGCTGACCTCCAAATCTCTATGCAGCTGAGGGTGGCTTGAACGACTAGTCCCCTGAGTGCTGAGATTAGAGGTGTGCGCTACCATATCTAGTCCATTTCATGTGTTTTTAGAGGTGGGGTCTCTAGTCCAGGATGGCCTCCGCCTTTCCATCCATTGCCGGCATTGTCAGCATGTGCTATCAGGTCCAGCATTAGCAGCACCATTTGAGAAAGCTCATCTCTCTAGCCTCCGCTGCCTTTGTTCCCTCTGTGTTTTGCATCTGACTTATTCTGCGCTTTGCTTGCTTATTTTTGCCTGTTATCTATCTCCTGGCAACAAGAAGGTAAACCAAAGGGAGGGAGGCATGCTTAATGAATCTCTTGTCCAGGCTGTGTCCCCAGAGCTAAAGCAGTGCCTGGCACAGAGGGTCTCTGGGTCTTCTGGGGAAGGAAACATATTTAGGGACTAGGTCCTCATCAGAGCCAGGTCTGGGCACAAGAAAGGGTCACCGAGACAGTGTGAGTGTATAGAGCACACTCTCAGCGGCAGGAACTGGGGTTCTGTGGCCAGACAGAGCCGACTCCAGTCTAGCCCTGCACTTTACACAGATCGCCAACCCAAGCTAACGCCCCCTCCTCCAGAGTGACTGTGGCCTGTGGGTCTCCCAAAGAACACAGGACACTCAGCTCAACCTGAATTTCAGCAGGACAGAGCATACTCAAATACCTTAACAATGACTCACATTGTTCACCTGCAGTGAAATTAAACTGGGTGTCCCACAATTCCAGCCCCCTTGCTAGGGATGATCACTACTGTAGATACCTTTCTCCCACCATTTAAGGGTCTCAGGTGACATTGCCCCAAATGCTAGAAATGAGAAAGAACAGAGGCACCCCCAGACAGATCCCAGAAGGGGGTGGGAGCATGGGGAGAAGAAAACTCTATGTGACAAGTGCCTATGACATGGAACCCTGAGCTGGTCTCCTCCCATGCACTCTTTTTTTTTTTTTTTTTTTTTTTTTTTGGTTTTTCGAGACAGGGTTTCTCTGTAGCTTTGGAGGCTGTCCTGTAGACCAGGCTGGCCTCGAACTCACAGAGTTCCGCCTGCCTCTGCCTCCCGAGTGCTGGGATTAAAGGCGGGCGCCACCAACGCCCGGCCTCCCATGCACTCTTAGGAAGAAAAGCATTTAATATTTCAAAAAAGCTATGAGTTACACTCTAATGTAACCCTGTACAGATGAGGAAATCTAGGCAAGGCAAGTGCCTGCCTGAGGTCACCTAGCTGGGAAAGTCGAGGGTCACAGCCAGGTCTAATATGCAGGCCACTCTCCCTCCATGGTTAAGAGAGGCTAAGTAACCAACTAAAGTTTCCTGGTTGAGATAGAACCAGAGCCAAGGAGAAAAAAAGGCAGGAGGCTGGAGGCAACTGACACTGGGTGGTCTGGGGAGCAGCAGGCTCATGCCGTCTCTTGGGCTGCCTGGACCCTAATCTCAGGACATCCCCTCACTTACAGGCTTCAGATTCTAATGGGGGACCTGGCCTTCATTAGCTCCTAATGAAGTCCGTGAATATGGTCATATGCCAGCCAGGACCCTGCCCTCCCCTCGTGGCATTACAGTCTAGTGGGAAAGACAGACAAAAGAAGCCATCCATCATGCCTAAGTACCCATGGTACCATGGGAAGGAGAAAGTAAGGTTGGAACGATGTGGAAAAGCCCAGCTAATGAAGGGCAGCTTCCATCAAGACAGATTTGCTGTCTAGATGAGGCAGTACATGCCTGCAGTCCCAGTGCTTAAGAAGCTAAGGGAAGAGGATTAAAGGTTGAGGGCCAGACTGAGCTATATAGTAAGATCCTGTCCCGGAAACAAAACAAGCATTAAAAGTAAAGGTTCACTTGTATCTCTGCCCCTGCTTCCACGGAGATTTCACATCCATTCCCAATCCCCACCTAACCATCGCTGCCTGTCTCCAGCCGCCCAACCATACCACACTCTCTCTCCCCTGGCTGCTCAGCTGCTAGGGACCTGGCGTGGGGCGTACGTTTCTGGAGATCCAGGATAGTGTAGAGGATAGCAATGCCGTCCAGAGCTTCCCGGCCGATCTCTTCATCAGGATCCCCAATACGAAGAAGGAGCCTCCCCAGCAGAAGACCCAGCGCTGGGAACCCCGAGGACATCTGTTAGTGTCATAACCACAGGGAGGGAGTCTGTAGCTACAGAAGGCAGCAGGGCAAGCAGACCTAGATATCTGCCCTGGCAGCAGGGGGTCAGCTGAGTGTCCACCCCTCCAGGAACACTCACGAAGAAAGGCAGGGTCCCGAGTGTGTGGTTCAACACAGAGACGTTGCTGTTCACAGCCCGCGCTCGCTCATGGGCCTTCCCAGAGTTCATCCAGGGCCCTAGGGGCTGTGGGGACAAGGGAGAGTCTCTGCTACCATTGGATGCCAGCCCCTGACGTCCGGTGAGAAAGCCAATAGTCTGCAAGAAGCTTCCAGAAGTAAGAAGGCAATTTGCCATAGTCCTCCTCCTTTTGCGGCTCAGTGACAGATGGGGTTTGAGCTGATAACAGGACTCAGACAGGAAGAAGGGAGAGGAGTCAAGGAAGAGACAGGAAAGGGAAGGAGGCGGGGTAAGGATGGAGAAAGGCGTGAGGCAAAAGCAGGAGCTGCAGGGGTGGCTGTGGGCTCATAGTAGACAGAGAAAGGGCAGAGGTCCAGGCCTGTGACCCCAGCTACTCAGGAGGCTGAGACGGGAGAATTGAAAGATCAAGGCCATTCTGGGCGACTCACTGAGACAATGTCTACAAACAAAACGTTTTTAAAAGGGCTCAGTGGTAGAGCTTGCCTACGAGGGGTGAGGGCTTAGGTACAACCCCGCCCCCTGCATCACCAAAAACCTCAACAAAACGGCATAAAATACACTAGGGAAGCGGTGCGCTGGTTCAGCATGATATCCAAAGCCCAGCCCCTCATGCGGGGTCCACCTCCCACTTCCGTTAAGCTATTTTCCTGTTTCCCTCTGCCTCCCCCTCCCTCCCCAGGCACCACGCCCTGTACCTCCAAGATGTTCTTCAGTCCAGCGGGGGTAGGGTCTTCAATAAAGAGGGCATTGAGCAGTTTCTGCAAGGAATCTAAGGTCTGGTAGTAAAGCGTCTGTAGACAGAAGAACAGAGCTTCTGGAGCTCCCAGCATAGCTGCCAGCACCAGACACTCCCTGGGTGGGTCCCGGAGAAGTGTGCATTGAACACATAAAAAGCTGATTTCCGGCCTCATCTCTGTACCTCACCTGATGTACAATATTAGACAAATTACTTTCACTCTGTGGATTCGAGTTTCTTTAGCAACAAATTGGGGATGAGTGTTCCCGGACTTCCTACCCACGTGGTGGCGGGGAGCAGAGGCCTGGCCTCCACTGCCTGGCGTGAGCCAGACAAGTGCCTGGTAATTTGCGTGTCCTCCATCACTTTGTCTTGAGACTGTTTTTCTCATTTTACAAATCCGGGAACATGTGTCCAAGGTCACGCAGCAAGGAGCAAAGAGTACCACAGGCCCTCTCTCCCAAGACTGCTAAGGCTAGGGAGCATCCTCTCAAAGGTGCTCTGCCTCCTGGCTGAACTGTTACCTTTAGACCCACCCAGGTCCCAGGTGACCCTTAGGGAAGTCATCTGTCCCCTGCCAAGGTTCCTCAGCAGTTGCCCATCCCACAGTCCTGAAACTGCTTTTTGGGTACAGGCAAAGCTGAGTGGTGGGTTCAAGCTGCTCTGGGAAGACCCCTTTTCCTACCTGCTCCCCTTTGCTGGCTCCTCACGTCTATCCCCTAGGATGTCCCTGTCCCAGCCTCCTAATTTCACACACTCAAGAGCCCGTAGCCCTTAGGATTACACCACAATCACAAAGCAAGCCCTACAACCTCCTTCCTGCCCACGGCCGCCGCTTGTTATGCACCACTGCCCTCTGCTGGCAATACACCTAACTACAGGAGGGCTGCCCGCTTTTCCCCAGGTCCTCTGGGGCACCAGTTTGAGAACCCTGAAGCCAAAAGCTGTCTGTCTGTCTGTGTGGTCCCACTCCTACCATTCTAAGCTGTCTTCTCCGAGTTCCTGTCTCACCCTTAGGCTCCAGTCACACGGCCTCTTGTCATCCTGGCAGTTGGCATGGGTTCGGTACAGGTTCTTTACGCCACCCTCACTCGAGGAATCACAGCACCCCTCCCCATCCTCCCTAGGCCATATCCCTCATCCATATTCCTTCTGGTACCCCATAATTTATGCTTGCATCACTGAAGACCCCTGAGATTTTGCATCTGACTGATTCCTTAACAGCGCTCACCTCTTCCCTCCCCACACTGCTGCAAGACTACCATAGTGATGAGGAGAGGGGCGTGGCTAATACCTGCTGAGTGAAAGGGTGCCTGAACAGCTGGACCCCTCATTCAGGCCCCTCCTGGCCCTCGCTCCCCCTGCATCCTACTGGTACCCACCCCCACCGGTACCTCCAGGGATGACTGCAGAGGCTTAAGGGTGCTTGCTGAACAGTCTGCACATTTCCCGGGTCCTCAGTCCTTCCCTCCAATCCCGGCCCATTCCTATGGCTTTGCAGCCTCTGTCTGCATCCCTGATTCAGGACAGGGCTTGCGAGTGGGATCCCTCCAAAGGAGCCACCGCTGCACTGGTTCGCTCAAATGCTGAACAGTTACCAAGCGCCCGTTCAGGCTGGCACGGGCGAGGTGAGTCATTCCAGGCCGCTCAGGCAGGGTGGAGGGTGGGGCAGACTATCTATAGAAAACCCCTGCTCGGCCCTGTGAGTTGTCCCTTCTGGGGATGTCCCCAACCTAAAGCCCCACGAGGGGAGGGGGCGGAGGCATCTCACCTGGATGACTTCTGCCCTGGCCTCGTCTTTCTCCTGCATGGTCTGCACCGAGGGCAGGGAGAACACACTCCGCACACAGGTGTTCACTAGCTCCGCCCTCTCCCGGACACTCAGGGCAGGCTTGGTGTGACTGGGAGAGAGAGGAGGCGAGGTGTGAGGGAGGGCCCAAGGACGCAGTGGGGAGGAGGGCACCTGACTCAGCTAGGTTACCCGGGGCAAGATGAGGTGGGCGCAAGGGTTCGGAGGGGGCATGCCCCGTGGGGACCGGGAAGGGGGAGAGGGAACGGTTCAAAGTGGACAGAGGCATGGGGGAAGGGGCAGAGCTTGGAAGAGAGAGCGGTGGCTACCTCAGCTGTGTCAGGGTCTCCATGGCTTGCTGGCGGGTGGGGCTCAGAAGGGAATCCAGGGGCTCCTCCTGAATCTGTCTCTGGGTGGGGAGCACAGAGCCAGTGAGAGCCGGCTGTGGCTGACTCCCAGGCTCCGACAGCAGGCCATGCAGGGCCTGGGCCTGGGCACACTTGTCTCCCACTGGACAGGTAGGAGAGCCAGCTTCTGCCCAGACCAATCTCAAGTCCTCAGCTCAAGACCACTCAACACTCAGCACCCTGATCTGTACATGCCATGTGGAGAGTTCCCATGGTGCCCTTCCAATGCCTGACAGCTAAACCACGGGACTGACCCAAGAAGAAGCCCCAGGTATGGCCACTGCGAGCTGTCCAGGGGAATTCCTCAAACATCCTACTTTTCACTTCTCATCAAACACCTACGCAAAGTAGGTGTTCAATTAATGTCAGTCAAAGTTAAGTATCAGAGGGGAAATCTTTTTTTTATGCATTGTGTTTGGGCAGGTGTGTGTGTGTGTGTGTGTGTGTGTGTGTGTGTGTGTGTTCATGTGTACATGCATGCGCAGGCTATCACTCTTCAGGGGCGGCGCACCTTGGTTTTTGAGGCAAGGGCTCTCATTGGCATCAAAAGCTGGCCAGTTAGGCTGGTCTGATTGGCCAGAGAGTCTGTTATCTGTCTCTGCCACACTAGGATTATAAATGTGTGGCTCAAACTTAGGAACTCTTTCTTGTGAGGCAAATACTGCTGTCTGACCTAGGCCCTCTAACACTCTTCTCTCTTTAAGGACCACAAAACCAAATGTAACTGTAAGCCTCTGTGGTGTGTGGTCCCAGCTCATCCTAACGGTTAGTTAAGAGGAAGCTGCTTCAAGGAACCTCTGAAGTTGCCCCCCAGGAGTCTCTGGGGGGAGAGCAGGTTGATAGTGACTGCTCTCAGACACACATACTTCACTTGAACTAGCCATGGGTTGTGTCCTCCCACAAGCAAAGCTACAGGCGTAATCACACCCATTTGTGAGATGGGAAGAGTGAGGCTCAGACAAGGGAAATAACTGGCTCATATTCCCTCTTGGCAGTGGGGGCAGTGAGAGGTGGGTAGACCTGAGCCTCAAGCCCAGAGGCCTGTCTCCCGCTCCTGTCCTCTTCCCAGCTCGCTCCAGCCATCTGTCCAATGGTGGACTCAGGAATCCCACCCGAGTGCCACAGCCCCGCCTGTGCCCCCCCCCCCGTACCATCATCCTCTTCATCGTCGTCTCCTTTTCTCCTTTCGTTTCCATCACGTCCTGATTCTCCCGGAAAGTGATGATGCTCTCCACCTTCAGGGCAGTGGAAAGCAGAACACAGAGTGAGACTTCCCATTGCTGTGATAAAATACATACTCCAACAAAGCCTGGCATAGCGGCACACGCCTAACTCCAGCACTCAGGGAGCAGAGGCAGGAGGATCTCTGTGAGTTCAGGCCAGCCTGGTCTACACAGCGAGTTCCAGGTCAGCCGGAGCTACACAGGGAGACCCTATTTCAAAGAAGCCAAAGTAAATAAATAAATATGAATACCCCAACAAAAGCAACTTAAGGGAGGAAGGGTTTATTCTGGCTCACAGCTCAGGGTATATAGTCCATCATCGTGAGAAAGTCACATGACATCCATAGACAAGGAGCAGAGAGCAAAGAATTTGTGCGGTCAAGTGCTCAACTCCTTTCTTCCCCTCTTGGACAGACAGTCCAGGATCCCTGCCTAGAGAATGATGCTCCTCAGTAGGCAGGCACTCAACTGATGTAATCAAGGTAATCTCTCACATGGTCTAGACACTGTCTCTGGAACTTTCTTCCCAGGTGACTTTTGATTTGGTCAAACTGACAAAAATATCACAGTCCAAGAGAAGGGACATGTTTCTGTATCTCAGTAGTTGGTATAAGTGAAAAACCTTGATGGTGCAATGGGAAGTCGGCTCCTGAAGTCTGCGTTTGAGGGTCGGTAAAGCACCCTACCTCTCTAAACTAAAGGAGGACAGAAAGGGTCCATACACCTCAGCCTGAAACTCTACCATCAGTAACACTTCTTTTAAGCCTTTTGGTAAATTCCAGTCCCATTAAGGCATTCTGCTACCTGAGAGCCCATTAACCTGTGTCAATCCATTGATTCCCATTATCTTAAGGAAGAAAACAAGACCACGTGAAATGAATAGCTTCACATTACACTTTGATCTGATGCAGACTTGTGGAACGGTGAGCCACAAGTTCTTTCCCACTTGTCCCATCAGTGGGCAGAATCTCCTCAGCTCTGGCTCAGACTGTTGTGAAAGGAATGTATGTCAGGGTTTGTGGTGGTGCGTGCTTTTCCTTTCTGGAACCCAGACACCAAGATGGAAGGAAACCCAGGCTAGACTAAGGAGGAGTGAATCCATGCAGACAGGGAGCCTGGCAGGTAAGGGACGATCGAGTTTCAGCCCCCTAAGAGAACTGTGTGTACAGTGTAGACAGATGAACCACCCAGCTGAGTCCAGTCAAACTGCAGCCCGGAGAAGGTAACCCTGCGAATCATTACCCTGCCCAGCATCGGACTGGACTGACCTGCTTTGGATTATCAGTCAAGTTTGGAAAGGGGAAAGGAGCCAGTATAGAATAGTCAGGGACAGCTGCTCACAAGTGGACAGTCAGGCTTAACTCTGAGTAACAAGAATAAGGGATAGGTCTATTTCCCCAGACCAAAATGTCAGGTCACTATTCTGTGCTTGGAGCTGGAATTAGCATCCGGCACATTGTGGGGCCCCATCAAGCTGGCTGAATGATGGAGTGACTGCATTCCCTGTACTAGCACCGAGCGTGGATGGCGTGGATCTGAAAGGGCCTCACTTCAACTTCACCAGGCCCATTCTATGGATGAGGACACTGCTCCTGACTCCCATTCCTCCACACCCACATTTGTGTCACGCTTACGTCGGCCCCTACTGGCCTGGCCTTCTCTGCTACACAGCCCAGACCTGGGTCAGGCCTGTCCGTGTACTAAGCAAAGCTATTGCTGGCCTTTCTGTCCCTTTCAGAGCCCCTCCCACAAAGTCACTCAGTTGTTAAAGACTTTTATTTAGAACCTACTATGCGCCAAGCACTGCTCTGCATGCGGGAGGCTCAGCTATAAGACAGACAAAGATGCCTGGCCTGCGGAAGACTCTCATGGGGGAGACTGCTGTGATTTGAGTCTGAAATGTCTCCCCCTGCTCACGTTTGAAGCTAGTGACACTATGAGGCGAGGCCTTGGGTCCCTTAGGAGGTAGGGCCTGAGTGGAGGAAGTCAGTCACTAGCCCACTTCCTGCCTTACTCTCCCTGTCTCCTAGATGTGTGGAGCCTGCCACACACTCTGACTGCCATTAACCCACTGTTCTGCCCTGCCCCCCCCCACCGTAATGGCCAGAAACCTTCTGGAAACATGAGCCAAAATGACCCTTTCCCCCTAAACTGTCTCCACCGGGTCTTTCGGTCACAATGGCACAAAGGAAACTAAAACGGGGGGAATGAGCAACAGGAGGAGCTGGAGAGCACTCAGAATGTCAGATGGCATGGGGTTCCCAGGAGAGAGAGGAGATGCCATAAAGGGGTGGGCGGGACCAACCAGGACAGGGTGTGCTGACACATACCATCCCGGAGGCAGAGACAGGAGGATTGCTACAAGCTTGATGCCAAGCTGTTCTACATACCAAATTCCAGACTAACCAAGGTTAAACATCAAGACTCTACCTGAAAAGAGGAGGGTGGGCGAGGAGGGCAGGAAAGGGAGGGGGGAAGGAGAGGAATGGGAGTGGGCCAGGAGTTGGGCAGGAAAGGGAGGGGGGAAGGAGGGGAAAGGGGAGTGGGCCAGGAGTTGAGCATACCAGCGCTGTCTTGTCATCGTCTTTCTTCTCCAGCACGTTGACCTCCACGGCTTCAGAGGTTCCTGCACGTCACAGGTTCAGTGAAGGAGGGGGAATAGAGCATGGTGTCCTCAGGATGCCGTACTCCCATCCCTCCTCCCCAGTGCATCCCTCCAGTCCTCACTCCTTCATCAGACCGACAAAGCTTGGGAAAACGTAAATCAGCTCGTGCCACGGACCCTCCCTAGAAGCCTGCAGTGAAACTCCATGTCATGTCATTGATCTTGCTATCGTGGCCCTGCCTGGCTGGTCTCCCTATCCACCTCCCCAGATTTATCTCCCTGCTCTCCTCCATCCCTGCTCTGTCTATACTGGCCTCTGTCCAGTTCCAGGCAAGCTTCTGGTCAGGTGATTTTTGCTACTCCAGCTGCTGTTCCCCAGGGATCCCATTTTCAGACCTCACCTTACCTGACACTCCCCTCAGAGGCTTCTCCTGGCCTCTGGATAAGAGAAAGCATGCCGGAACACCCTGTTCCTGTCCTTCAGGGCTTATCCCATCAATAGACACGTGTGACAGTGTCTGATCGCTGTTTTCTCAGCCCAGATCCCTCACCTTGCTTTGGCGAAAGAGGCCCTGTCTTTCTTAGAGGTCTCTATTCCCAGCCATTAGGTAAAGCCCCACCCTTTGTCCTTTTCAAAGAGTGATTGGTCTGCAACCCAAGCTTGGCCAATAAGAGTGCCCCATTCCCCTAACTGACAGGACCAGTGATGGGTACTTAGCTAAGGAGGGTTAATAAAAGCTTTCTGTTTCAGGACACAGATCCACCTGAGGTCAAAGCCACCAGGGTTGGGGAGTTCTGGGATTCAGGAGGATCTCTGGTAGCTGAGATGCCAGAGGCTGCTGGAAGGCTGAGCCAACAGGGAAGAGAACACAACTGGTCCAAAACATTGGCTTCTAAGTAAGGTTCCTAGGAGAAATGGCAGGTCCCAGGGAAGTCCTGGCTGAGCCTGGGACATCTGGCCCCAGAAAACAAGAAAGGATGAAGGAGAATGGAGAAATATTCATACTTACCTGGAGGAAGTTGTGTTGGTCAAACTAAGGAAATCTTATCAACATAACTAATGATAGCAACTGGTTTATAGCCCTTAAATAGACTAGAAAAATGACACAAATAAACGCATCCATAAGTTGAAATTTTGGAGGAATGGGATAGTTATGTGTTTTCAAAGCCCCCTTACCATGAGACGTTACAAGGAAAACACAATGGCTATCCAGTGGAGAGCCTCAGGGCAGCCCCCCCATCAGATGATGAATTAGGACCATGAGCCGCCAGAGGGGGCGCAGTGAGAAAGCCAGCATGGCTGCCCAGCTCTTTCTGCCAGTGCTGCAGGCCCTGAACCTCCCCAGCCCTACATGCATCAAGGAAATGAATGGCAGGGAAGACCATGAACAGGAGGAAGCAGAACAGGACAGACAGATTGACAAGCCTCTGAACTGGAGCCTGGGCAAAGAGTGCTGGGAGAGTTGGCCACACTTGAATAGGGAGGGGGTAAGAATCCGGTGAAGAGACATAAGTATTAATGCCTTGTTTACAGTGGTTGTATTTTGTGCTTTTTGTTGTTGTCGTTAAGAAATGTGTTGAAAATTTAGGGATGATGGGGCACCACTTGGCAGCCTACTATCAAGTGACTCAGGGAAAAGAAAGATTTTAATGATGTGCTTTCGACTATTCTGTATGCTTTTATAAGTGATTTTTGAAACATTAAGGGGCTGAAGACAGCCCCATGGATAAAGCACTGGCTGAGTTCAGATCCCCAGCACCCACACAAATGCAGGATGGGTATGGTGGCCTGACAGTAAGAGTCTCAGACGGTGGGGAAGGGATCCCTGGAGGAAGCTGGTTAGCTAGGCAACCTCTGTGCTCAATCGATTGACCCGGCTTCAAGGAAGAAGACAAAGAGCAATCAAGAAAGACTCCGGATGTCAGCCTCCGCCATCAAAATGCATGTGTACCCACACACATGTGAACAGGCACATACATGCGCACACACCACTTATACATATGTGTATTTAAAAAACCAACAAACAAACATTTAAAGCTGGGGAGATGGTTCAGTTAGTAAAATGCCTGCCATACAAGCATGGGAATCTGAGTTCAAATCAGCCCCAACACATACATAAGCACATACATACAACAGACACGCGTGTAACATGTGCATACTCTATGAGCACACTGTTCTAGGTGTCCCTAATAAAAGTGAACAGTCAGGCATGGTAGTACACACCTAGAAGCCCAGAATTCAATAGGCTAAAGTAGCAGGATCATGAGTTCCAAGCCAACCTGGGCTATAGAGTAAAACCCTGTATAAATTAAAAAAATATTTCCCTCTCCTCTCCCTCTCCCCTTTCTCTCTTCCTCTGTCCTACATCACTCTTCTCCCTCTCTCCCTTCTTTCTCTCTCTCTCCTCTGTCCCTCTCTCCTCTCCTCTCCTCTCTCTCTCTCTCTCTCTCTCTCTCTCTCTCTCTCTCTCTCTCTCTCTCTCTCTCTCTCTCCTCTGAGTAAAGAATCCCAGGTCTTGCATGCACTATGCAAGTGTTCTATCACTTTATAATTTAATTTTTTAAATTAAAGACAGGTATGGTGACTCATTCTTTGTTTGTTTGTTTGTTTGTTTGTTTTTTCAACAGGGTTTCTCTGTGGCTTTGGAGGCTGTCCTGGAACTAGCTCTTGTAGACCAGGCTGGTCTCGAACTCACAGAGATCCGCCTGCTTCTGCCTCCCGAGTGCTGGGATTAAAGGCGTGCGCCACCATCGGTGTGGCTCATTCTTGTAATCCCAGCATTTGGGAGACCTGAAGCAGGAGGACTGCTGCAAATCTAGACTCATGAAGATACTAGAGAATTTCAGATTAGCCTGGGCTACAGAATGAGACCCTGAGAAATAATGAAGTACTGTCCCATGCTACAGTATGAGTGAAACTTGAAAAGGCTTTGTTGTGTTGAATAAGCCAATCATAAAGGGCCACTCTACTTGGGATGTAGCTCAGTGAGCAGGACACTTGCCTAACACACCCCAAGGCCCTAGATTCAATTCTTAGCACCAGAAATGTATTAATGAATTTAAAATAAAGTCTTCAAGGCCCAGGTGTGGCATGTTCCTGTGACCTCACTCCTGGAAGATAGAGACGAGGGATTGCAAGTTTGAGGCCAGCATGAACTACACAGCAAGACCGTCTCAAAACAACAAGTTAGTGAAAGTGTATGAGGGAATGAAGGGTTACAAATGACTAATGAATTAGAGTGGGGTTTTAAGAATGGCTTCGCACCCTGGCAGATATGCATACAAAGCCATGGGTTTCTTTGCTTGCTTAGTTTTTACTTTGCTGAGACAGTCTCATAGCACAACATGGTCCTGAACTTGCTATATAACCCGGGCAGGTCACATGATCTTACTCTGTCTGCCTTCATCTCTTGAGTGCCAGGGTCACAACCTGCGCCACCAAGCCTAGGTGTCATGATAACATTTCAAATCACAATCTAGGGGTTGAGGAGACAGCTCAGTCAGTAAAGCTCTTGTTACATAACCATGAGGACCTGGGTTCGGTCCTCAGAACCATGGAAAAAACTGATATTGGTAGTCTGTGTTTGTAATCTCAATAGCTGGAGGTCAGAGATAGGTGGATCCCTGAGCTTCCCCAGCCAGCCAATCTCTAGCCTACTCAGTGAGCTCCAGGCCAGTCAAAGATCCTAGTGGTCTCAAATCACAGATGGATGGCTCCCAACACACACACACACACACACACACACACACACCCCACACACACACACATACACACACACACACATGCACACACAATCACAATATGGCATTGGTACAGGAACAAACAAAGAAAGATTGATTGATCCAGATGTGGTGGCACACACCTGTAATCCACTTGAAATGGGACAGCAGGAAGATCTGAACTCATGTTCATCCTCCAGCACATATCAAGTTCGAGACCAGCCTGAACTACAGGAGACCCTGTCTCCAAAAAATATGAAAGAAATACCAACTGAGAGAATATACAACAGCAGACCTCTTGCATATCAGGAAGGAGACATTGGCTCCAGAAGTCAGAGCCTGAGTGGATTCTTGAAATCTCTATAGAGGAGATCATGCTAAGCCTAGAGTTTTCCTTCTCCTCTTCTCGACTCACCCTCAGGAGGGCTGCCGAAAGCCGTGGCGCCCTGCAGGCTGTCCCACTTCCCCAGATTCTCCTCTAGGGGCATGGTGCGGATGCTGTTGTCCTCAGAATAATCTCGCTGGCTGCTCAGGGTCAAGGTGGAGGTGTCGCTTACCAGGAAGCTGGAGTCTATGCTCAGGGACTCAGAGCCCAGGACCAGGGTCATGCAGGATGATGGAGAGAGTGTGGAGTTGGGTATTCGGGCACTGGAGTGCAGGCTGAGACCTTCACTGGAACCAGGGATCATGCTGACACGTGAGGCCTGAGTGACAGTCACATTTAAACCAGACCTGGGTTGGCTGCTGGAAATCATATTGATGGACCCCTTAGAGCCTGTGTTCCAGGGTGCACTCAAGGCTTCTTTGGAAACAGATGCAAAAATAGTTCGTGAAGTCAATGTGATAGACTCATTTGGGCTGGAGACTAGACCCAAGTTCACCTTGGAGTTGTTCCCAGAGCGCATACGGTCCAAGGAAGTGTTGGAGGCTAGGAGAAGAGGCACCTGTGAGCCCTGCCTGGAGATGCTCTGACTCCGGACCAGCGCATCCCTGGAAAGAGCCCTTACAAATAGGTTTGGCTCTGGCCTGGATGGATTAGAGTTACTCTGGCCCAAATCAAAAACCTTGTTTGAGAGGGACTTGGGGACATCCTCAGAGTATGGCCTAGGATGATTCTCTGGACTTAAAATAGTGGCCTGGGTAGAGCTGGGACTTCCAGTTGGTTGTGAGTCTGGGCTGAGAGTCCCTGGTGAGTTGGGCCCGGCGATGTGATTCACACTCTGGCCTGTAGTGTCCACAGAGCAGCTGTTGATCTGGATGGAGGCTGGAGCTGTGACTCCACTGGCGCTGGGGCTGGAAATGTCATTACATACTAGGCCAGGGGCTCCCTCTGGGTCAGGACTCAGAACTGGATGAAGGACTGGAGTGACAGCCAAGCCACGTGCCGGGAGAGGAGCAAGGGCCATGTCTGGGGTGGGCCTAGGCATGGTGGTGGACATTACTCCTGGAGCCTCACAGGAGCTGGGACTCGGCGTCTTCTGGAGGTCTTCATGGAGAATGAGACTAGCGCCCGGACTCAGGGCCATGTTCACTCTGCAGGATTCTTAATGCCACTGTCCCTTCTGCTGACTGTGGGGCTCCCTGCAGCACTCCTGAGAGGGAAGATGAACGCAGCCTGCTAGAACCCTGTCCTATGGCCCCCACCGTGCTGTTCCATTCCTTCTAGCTCCGTCTCACATCAGTGCCCTTCTCACTCTGTTCCATGCCATGGATAGGGACCTCCCTGACCACATCCTGTGACCCCCCCACTTTGTGTTCTGAACAAACACACTGCCTTTGACTGTGCCTTGCCATTCTCAAATCTCCCACCAAAATACTCATCCCTCTTCATTCTAACGACTGACTGAGCCCTGTTAGATGCAAGTTCTAGGTGTCAAGAACTGCAGTTATTCTAGCGAGACACGGAGGCTCACGCCTTGTAACCCCAGAACTTAGGAGGCTGAGGTGGGAGGATAGTTCAAGACCAGCCTGTCTCCAAAAATGAAAGAGAGAGAGAGAGAGAGGGAAAGAGAGGGAGGGAGGGAAGGAGGGAGAGACAGAGAGACAGAAACAGAGAGACAGAGACAGAGAGAGAACATGACAGAAGGGAGGAAAGGGGGAAAGAAAATGGAGAATGGAGGGGTGGGGAACTGTGAGTATCCCAGATCCCAGAGCATCTCCAACTCCCAGACAGTGCCAGGCACACAAGTCAGTCTATTAACAGGAAAATGAGCGATCTCTCCCACTTAAAAGTTGAAGGAAAGAATAAAGTACTTTGTTATGAGTTATCCAATACTCAGTCAGGCCCATGTTGACCTCAGTTCACCAACAAGGATCCCTGAATCTTGGGACAAATCCCTAAGTCATTAGAATTATTCTGCATGTGGTCACAGCTCAGAGCCTCAGAGGTCCCTTAGCAGAGCACCCTATAACCTAACAAGAGAGCACCCAACAGTTACTAAGATGGAAGCTCCTTGCCTAGCAATCTAACTGTGGGTGAATTCCCCAGTCCCCTGCCTCCTGACCCTATCCCTGAGTCACCCTCCCCCTATAGAATCTATAAGAGCAGCTCACCTGCCAGCATGGTGTTCTTAAGCAGGAGTGGGCCCCTGGGAAGACATACAAAGGAAATCAAGTCAGGGAAAGAGAGAACGAGACCATCTCTGTGCCCCCACTAAACTCATCAATGGCTTCCTGTTGTCCTTGGAACAGTCACCAGTTGTTAGCAGAACCTAAAGGCCTCTTCTGCATCACCCCGTGTGGCCCTCCTTAAGCCCCCTCTGTAAAGAGAAGCTTTTTCCTTGAGAGAGAAGCCTTCCCGCCAGCCTGGTTCCAGAGCCGCATCAGTCCCAGGTCTGGGCCTCCCACAGACTGGGCATCTCTTCCATTTCCCTATCTCAGCTACCACTTAAAGCCGCACCCGTGTAGGCCCCCTAAACAGGACCACCTGTAAGCTCTCAGAGCATCTTGCTGGCTTCCCCTTTCCTGGCACACACATCTGGCTTCCCTACTAGGCAAGCACGCAATGCCCCAGGAACTACCGCTGCCTTGTTCCCTGATGATTTATGTCTGCAATAGCACCCGAGCATGGAAAGCGCTTGGTATATTTGGGGTCTCGGTGTACCTTCTTGTTTTGCTCATCCGTTCTTTCACTAGCTTGCTTTCCTTTCCATTCATTTCTTATTCACTCATGTACTGGTTCTCTAAATCATTTGTCCATTCCACCGACCTGCATCTGTATGGCTTGGCTTTGGAAGGGCCATACACTTGAAGTCACGTAGTCCCCAGTTCATAGATCAAAGTGAATGAACCTGGACAAGAGACTTCTCCCCCACTGGCTCTGGGCTCTTCAGTAGCTCCCTGTCCTATAGAGTCATTGCCCTAACGGCGTCTGCAGGGAGTGTGAGGTCTGCAGAAGGCTTTCCTATGTTATCCTTCTATTCCTTTTTGTTAGAGGCTGTGGCAAAGGGAAATCAGGACCTTGGTGCCCAGGGGAATCCATCTGCATTTCTAACACCTGGGTCCGGCAAAACAGGAAGAATAGCCTTACCATCACCTCCAAAAACTATTTTACCTGTAGCCAAGGGGTTGAAAGGGGTGGGGCTCCTTGATTTTGAGTTCCTTGCCAAAGCCCTGGTCTTGACTTTGTACCCACCATTTGTCCTCCTCCTTTTACTTGACAAGGGACCTACGTTTGTGCTTGATCTTTTTCTATGTCATATACACAGGTGCCACACATGCATTCACCACACACACACACACACACACACACACACACACACATACCATATCCAGTTCAGGTGATCTGATGCCTCTTCTGGCCTTTGCAGACACTGCATGCACACATTGTACAAACATAATTGAAGCAAAGCACTCATTTCCATAAATTATTTTTTAAATTAACTTTTAACAAAAAGAGGAACAGGGACTTTCACACATCTGTAACCCCAGCATTTGGGTGGAGAGGCAGGAAGATCAGACTTCAAAGCCAGCCTAGGTTACACAAGACCTTGCTCTACAAAAACAAATGTACGTATTTTGATGTATACATATGGGCTATCATCATCACAGCCAAAGTATTAAACATCTCCCCTCTGGATGTTCCTGTTCTAATGATCTCTCTATGAGTGTGTTACTGTGTGTGTAAGAGCATTTAACAAACAGCTCTGGATGTTAGGGCACACCTGTAAACCCAGAACCAGTAAACTATGGTAGGATGGCACCATGAGTTCAAAGCCAGCTTGGAATACCCAGTGAGTCCCAAGATAGGCTGGGCTACATAGGGAGACCACGTCTAAAAAAACAAGCCAACAGAACTCAATACAAGATCTAGCCTCTCAGAGCTGTGAGTGGTGAGAGAGCATTGACACCCAAGGCCCAGGAGGCTGAGAATGGACCATAAATTTGAGTCCAGCCTAGGCTACATAATGATAGCCTATGATAGACAGTATGACCCTATCTCAAACAAAAATAAATAAATAAAATAAACAAGTAAAATACACTATGCGACTCCTTAGAATGTGTTCTTCCAGTGTCACTGGAACACATTCTCTAAGCATTGATTCCCGTTTCCTTTTCTCCCCCATAGCTGAGTTTTGAAAAGTTTGTCTGATGGACTCAGCAGTAGAGACAGAAGACAGAATCCTGAACAAATCACTAAGATCTGCTAACTCTGTCTAGGTATGGTCGTCCAGGCCTATATTCCAGGAAAGCAGGGGGACCAGATGTCTCTCTCTTATACATAGCAAGTTCCAGCCCTGACTGGATTGCATGCCCCAAGAAGAAAAACTAAGAAAAGAGCTGGGTGTGGTGCACGCCTTTAAACACAGCTCTCAGGAGGCAGAGGTGAAAGCATCTCTGTGAGTTTGGGGCTAGCCTGGTCTACAGAGTGAGTTCCAGCTAGGACTACATAGTGAGACCTTTTCTCAATAAACAATAAATAAATCTACAAAAAACAAAATAAGCCAGGCGTGGTGGCACATGCCTTTAATCCTAGCACTCAGGAGGCAGAGGCAGGCGGATCTCTGTGAGTTCAAAGGCCAGCCTGGTCTACAGATCAAGTTTCAGGACAGCCTCCAAAACAATACAGAGAAACCCTGTCTCAGAAAACCAAAATAAATAAATAAATAAAAATACACTTAATATGAGCAGCAGGAGAAAATAGCAGACTCTTGGACACAATAACAAAGTATCTAGCCTTCTAGTCTTAGAGTCTCAAAAGGGGAAAGGGTGTGGAAAAACATTCACAGTAATAATGGCTGAAAACGTCCCTGATTAATACACAATGCAAGCCTACAGACTCAGAGAAAGTGAGAGACCCTGGGGGAAGGCTGGAAAAGTCCGTGGCAACCGTAAGAGAGGTGTTGTTTCTTTGTTTTTTCCTTATGCTTGGTTGGTTGGTTTGGATTAGTTTTCACAATACAACCCAGGCTGCCTTTAAAACTGCTATGTAGCCTAGACTGGCCTTAAACTGGCGATCCTCCTGCCTGAGCAGCTGAGGGCTGGGACTGAAGGTGTGCACCACCACGCCCAGCCATCATTTAAAATAAAAATCTTGAGTATTACCTGCAGATGAGTGGCAATTTGAATGACAGCCAGGGGTCTGCACACTGGTCTCTGGGTTTCTTTTAGCAGGGCCTTCAGGCCACATGTAGTTCCCTCCACCACCCCAGTCACATCCTGCCCTGGCCTGCCTTGAACCCACTCTTCTCAGCTTCTCTGGCACCTCTGATGTGCTGGAGTTCTCCCTTGCTGCAGAGTCTCTCAAAGCCTTGCCCCTTCCTGTGAACTTCCCCCAGCTGCCCACTCAACCTTCAAGCCCTTCATCTGGCTCATGCCTCATGTCAAATTCCAGACCAGCTTCAAAGTCTCCCTCCCCAGGAAATCTTCCTGAGATCCCAAATACTGTTGAGGAACCTCTTCCTCTGTTTTCTTATGTCTCCATACTAGAACATGAACTGGGTGTCTGCCCATCTTTTTACTCCCGCTTTTCCAGAATACAACACAGTGCCCGGCGCAGAGCAGGTACATTCAGATAGATGAATGAATGAATGAATGACAGCTCTTCAAGATAGATATCATTGCTCTTATTTACTAGCACACTGAGACTGTCTAAAGTGATTTTTGTAAAGACCCCAGCAAGTGGCAGAGGCGGCTTCTCAACCCACACTTCCCCCATAGCACCAAAGAGATTCTAGGATTCCCTCTGTGGACAAAGCACCTTCCTGGGTTTCCCCCAATCCGCCTTGGGCCACGCTCAGCCTCCCACAGATGTCCATCCATACACCATCCTCCCTGAGTGACAAGAGGAGGCACTCTAGCCCAGCTCCTCTGTACCCCGCTCCCGGTCTCTGACACCCACTCTTTGACTTCTTACCCGGTTCCCTCTCCCCTTCCCTGTTCTCCCACCCTCCACTCTGAAGATAGATAGCTAAGCTTTCTGTGAGCCTTGAGCTGCTAATGTGTTACCTCCACCTGGGGCATCCACATGGCAACAGAAAAGTCAACTTTAATCCAAAGGTATGACGTTAACAACTGTGGGATTATAGTCAGACCAGGAGACTTTTACCTAGCAGGGGTTGGGGTCAAGGTAATAACTGCCTTGTGGAGGCTGTGGAAGCTGACCCCACCCTTGGTACTTTTCCAAAACCACCCTTCAGCTTACCTGGGCTCCCCACAAGCCCAGGCTGGGTTTACAGTCTTTGTGAGGTCACCATGATCCGGAAGACCCCCCAGCCAATAAGGCTCCTGGTTCTGCCCACACAATGGAGGGAAGTAAAGGAATCTTTAGAAAAGGAGTTGTGTCTTCAGACCCCAACACCACTTAGACAGAACCTGACTCAAACTAAGGCAGAGTCTCAGTGGGCCTGCAGAGCATCAGTGACCTTAGACCTCCGTTTATCTTGGGGTGACAGGTGCTTTGGAGCCAAGCAATCCATGAAGAGAAAGGCCAAAAGCCAAGGCACAAATGAACCCAAGTCCTTGATCTTTTCCCTGCTCCACCCTGCTTCATCCAGGGACTGATAAGAGTGTGGAGCAGGGTGGGGTGGGTACAGGGACAGAGATGCTCACTGTGCGTGACCTAGTTCTGTGCTGAAGACAGTAAGGCCCCATCACTATCTCTTCCAAGAACCTAATTGTTTTGTTTTTCTTTCTTTCAGGCAGAGTTTCTCTGCATTGTTTTGGAGGCTGTCCTGGACTGGAACTCCCTCTGTAGACCAGGCTGGCCTCGAACTCACAGAGATCCACCTGCCTCTGCCTCCTGAGTGCTGAGATTAAAGGCGTGCACCACCAATGCCCGGCTTGTTTTTCAAAACAGGGTTTCCCTGTGTAGTTCTGACTGGCCTGGATCTAATTCTGTAGACCAGGCTGGCTTCAAACTCACAGAGATTCACCTGCCTCTGCCTCCCTAGTGCTGGGATTAAAGGTGTGTACCACCACCTCCTGACTCCCAAGAACATCTGTTTAACGATGAGCAATAACTTAAAATGATTAGGATTATAGGGATGAGACAGAAACACTTTGAAAGTAGCATTGACAAAATGAGAGTGAGGGGGCTGGAGAGATAGCTCCAAGGTTAAGAGCACTGGCTGCTCTTCCAGAGAACCTGAGTTCA